TTTTTGAATTTTTATTTACTTAAAAACATTTTTGGATCATTTTTAAGTAGTATGCAAAAAAATTAGAGAGGTGTTCTTTCTATAAATGTACTTATTTTGCGTCACCGTAATGGTCTCGAATTGTGATTTCGGAAGAGAGCCTACAAATGGTGTGGTAAAGCTGCCTAGTGACATCACTGGTTACTGAAAGTTCAATTGAAGTCATTTTTGCCTCACTTTTGCATTGTTGACCTTGCGTGACGTTATTCGTACGTCACTAGGGTCATAAGAGTTTTTCGTCAATAACTCTCGATCAAATTGAGCTAGAGAGACGGGAAAGCTACCAATGGACTCGGGAAGACGTTGCGAATCGAATGATGTGCAATATGATCTCATTCACTCAGCTTCGTGGCCTGACCCGACTGTTAACCATCTCTGTGGCGGCGCTGTTTGTCCAGCGCCGCGCTGGTTGGCTTTGCCGCGGACTCGGGGCGGTCACGTGATGCCCGGCGGCCGGTCGGGGAGCGGAGCCAAATACACGGCAGTGTGCTGACCCGAGGTCAGCGACTTAAGCTGACCTCACCAGAACAAACAGTAGGTATACACTATACCATTCGACGCCCCGGAGCTAGGCAAACACAAAGATGCTAAAATCGCGGCTCTGCGACCATTTGCTGCGAAGTTATCTATCAAAAATCGGACCCGTAATTTGGGTCACTTGAAATGACCTCAGGGTCATTTCAAGGGGGGGGGGTGTTTGAACACCCCCCCCCCTTGTGGTTTTTCGCTAATATCTCAAAAACGGCGGCGCTCCGCGCCGCCGTTTTTGGTACACCTTATCATACATCAATTCTACACATGTTGTGAAAATTTCAGACCAAGGTCATTCAAGGTCAGGTCACCAGGTCACTTGAAGTGACCTCACCTCATAAAAAGTTTCAATGTCTGTCATAGCTACACCGAGTGACCGATCGCTTTGAAACTTTCAGCGATTGCTAAGAGCAATAGCATGTACAAAATGTATATCTCAGAATTTTGATATCGATGACCTAAGGTCAGGTCAATTTTGCGACCTCCCCATTATAAGTCAATGGGAGAAAATTGAAATGCGCCTCTTTTGGACGAAAGACATTATAAACACTCACAAACACCGAATTACAAGTGGTTTAGACACACAGAACATGAAAATGGTGTCCGTGACCCCTGTTTATGCCCTGAGGTCATCTTAGGTCACGAATGGTATCTAACAGTTTTTCGCAAATAACTTTTGATAGAGGCATGCTAGAGCGATGAAAACGCCTTAGATGTGTTCAGCTCGACGATACGGATCGACTGATATGCAACATGACCCTTTCCGGTCAGGTCATGACCTTGACCTGAGGTCAAATTTTCAAGTTGACCTTTCAAGGTCAAGCTATAGTTCATTCGATGCGTCTTGGCGAGAGGAACACGATACCGGTAAAAGTAGGCTCGTACGTGGCTTGGGTCAAAAGTTATTGCAGAAAAACTGTTTCCGAAAAAATCGGCTATTTTTGCAGTTTTTGCCCCCTGCAGGCAAAGCCGTTGACGTTAGGTCAAATCTGAGAGAATTACTCAGAAAGGGCGTTAATAGGGCTATCGAATGCGCTTTTCTGCGGCGCTGTAGCTATATTAGTTCCCGAGTTATGCGTTGGCTTCTTGGAAATTTTCGACATTCGACCTGGAAATCGGCGAAATTTTGCCTTCAATGACCTCTGGTGACCTGACCTTTGACCTGACCAAGAAATTGACCGAAGTGATTTCGTCATTATTTTTGACGCTCTTTTGAACGCCGCCTTCCGCGTATCGCTACGTGGCCCAGGAGCCGAGTTACAAGGGGGGGTGTTCAAACACCCCCCCCCCCCCAGCAGGGCGTGGAAATCCAGGACCCCCAGCCGGGCGCGGGTTAAAGGACCTGAGGTTTATTTTGAAGGAATAAAAATGGCAAAAATTTTGGTCCCAAGGGCCATTAAAGACAATTAAAAAAAAAAAAAATACTACGACTTTTTCAATATGTAAAGCTTTTCTTTCCAATTTTAAAAATACTGTATTAATCTTTGATTCATCGTTAGTTCAAAGCTGTTTACCGTTTGTTGCTTGCTTAGCTCGTTTTTGAGTTATAGCTCATCAAACTCACCCTTACAATCTGAAATTTAGAAAATATTATGCAATGTAGCTCAAAAAGTTGTCATCTGAGAAGTCTGATATTTTGGCAGGTGTTTTTGGAGCCTATGATTACCCCTTGTACCAATTTTCATTCAAATCTGAGAGATGAGGGTGACGGGCCTGGTAGGTACGATCTATCGTGGAATGCCCCAGATATGACAATGGCTGGATGATACTGGAAATGGTGCCTTTGCTCTAACCACACGGAACGGGACGCAGTATTGAGTATGCAATTGCGGTCGCACTATGCAGCATGACATACGCCGGAAATCTCCCGGCCCGAACGCCGGAACGGCCAGCGATAGTCGGTACTCATTACGCATAGTGAAAATGGAAACGGTGTCAGCGCAACTCGTCGAAAGGAACGGTGCACTAGATGAGACTAGAAAAAGGGTCACTGATTAGGGCACCCCAAACGGAACGATGTGCACTGCGCAGCATAATACGCAACATCGCAATAAAAAGTGTGCAACTAACCAGGGCATCCGTATCGGAACGGAACGGGCGCAAAAAAAAAATGATAAAAGGATGCCACCGACCTCATGGCCGGCCACCGAAACGGAGCGGTAGCTACGTATCATGTCACGTGGTAAGTGCTGAGTGAGAGAGCGTCACTGATCAGTGATCAGTGATCAGAGCACCCGCAACAGAACGGAGGGCATCAGTGATCACTGATCAGAGCAACTGCAACGGAACGGAGGGCGTCGCTGATCAGGACATCAGGACATAGTACGAGCCGACATACGCCGAATCGCGATTCCGGCCAAACATAGCCTCAAGAAATAGGTCATAGGTCAAAGGTCATTTGGGTCAGGAATATGAGATTTTCAGAGTAGGTGTCCAATTAATTGACTCGAGGGTCCTGAAAGTTTCGTCGCGATCGGCCGCTTTTTCGCGAGTTATTCTCGAAAAAAAAACGAGGGGGTGGTTCGTTCGATCCCCCACCCCCATACGGGCGAGGGATAATTTATAAAAAAGCTAGAGCCTTCTTAATCCAATCTACCATCTTCAGAATATGTATGGGGCAGATATGGGAATACCGTATCTTAAATTTATCCCTAGAGGTGTGCCAAGGTATCCTTTCACTCATCTTGGCTTTCCCTCGGCCGAACGCTTCGTGTTAATTAAAAACCTCTAGAAACTAATTGAAATGAATAATTGGCAGTAAGATTATTGCAAAAGCATGAGAAATTAACGTAAAATACCTCATTACCGGTCTTATAACCTCATTTCGCGTATGAAACCTGCCAGAGGCCACAGAGTTTCATATTCATCCCTAGGGTGTGCCAGGGTGGCGTATCAGCCATCTTGAACCCCTGCCCGACCCGACGCCTCGAGTTTTAAAGACATCTAAAAACTAATAACGTTAATAATTTGTTGTGAAATTGATATAATATGATCAGAAAAGAACGCAGAATAAATAAGTATCGGTCTCAAAACATTATTTTGCCTATGAAACCAGCCAGAGCCCGCGGAGTTTTAGATTCATCCCTAGGGTGTGCCCAGGGTGGCTTTTCTCATCTTGGACCTCTACCAGGCGCGACGCCTCGAGCTTTAAAGTCATCTAGAAGCCATTGACGGACATAATTTGTGGCGAAATTGTTGCGATAGGATCAGAAATAAACGCAGAATAAATTGGTATCGGTCTCAAAACATTATTTTACCTATGAAACCAGCCAGAGACCGCGGAGTTTTAAATTTATCCCTAGGGTGTGCGCAGGGTGGCTTTTCTCATCTTGGACCTCTGCCAGGCCCGACGCATCGAGCTTTAAAGTCTTCTAGAAGCCATTGACGGACATAATTTGTGGTGAAATTGATACAACAGGATCAGAAATGAATGTAGAATAAATTGGTATCGGTCTTATAACCCTATTTTGTATATGAAACAAGTTATAGCCCACCAAGTTTTAAATTCATCCCTAGGGTGTGCGCAGGGTGTGCCCAGCTGACTGCGGGTCCAAAGATGAAAATTTTGTAGGCGTATCCTGCGTAACTTAGTCAAAAGCGAATTGCAGAGGTAGTGTTTAATTTGCGCAAGCAGCGGCTCTTCCGTTTTGCGTTGGCAGCAAACCACCAATCATAGTTGTTATGAATATCCAAAAGCATTTATTCAGAACACAAGCCTGGTTTTTACAAACAGTTGAGGTGATCAAGGTCATTCAACGCATATTTGTTATTAACAGCTGGAAGTGTGCAAGGTTATTTTCTTTCGTTGTCAGTCAGGGTGAGTTGTTGGGTTTGTGTCTTGATTTAGCATCTTTTTTCATGGAAATTGCGTATTATGGAGCAAACCTGTAAGTTCTGTCTATATGGCGCTGCTAGGTGTATCTGGTAATCTGGCTGTTAATTGTTGAGCATGCGTTGAGCATTTTTCAAAGATGAAAGAATTCCAATTTACCTGGTTTTGGGGATGAAAATATTTTGCCCATTAGGTGTGATTTTCCACCCAGAATTCCCAAAAAATGGAACACTGCAGGACGGCCACCACGGGCTCCGTTCTTCCTCGCAGGTCAGACAGCACTCTCATTGAGAATGGTGCTCCCGATCAGCAGCGGTCTGCCAGAACTCAGCGGTGGTGCCAGTGGCTTCTTTCTTATATCTGGAGTACCAAGGACACAAGGCTAGGGAACAACTCAGCTGACCTAAATTCTGCTGTATTATTTTTACTGCAGGAAGGGGACGGTTCGTAAGGTATCAAAACTTTTGCAGCACCCTATTGTTATTTCCTCCTTTTTTTTCTCATCCCTGGGTTATGTTTTTCTTTACGGCACACCGAACTGAAATCCGATTTTAGAACACTGGAGCGGCCACCGCCCGAGGGCAGCCAGCTGACCTACCTGCAGACGACGCCCTGCTGGTGGAGTCGCTCCAGCGTCACCACCAGCTGCGCCGTCCACAGGCGCAGCTGGTCGGCCGACGGCCGCGCCGGCGCCGCCGCCCGCTCCGGCTCCGGCTCCGGCGGCGCGGCCTCGTCCCCGCCGCCGCGGCTCCACCACTGCTCGTCCAGGGTGGGCCGGCGCCGCGCGGCGGCGGCACAGGGGCGCCCGCCGCCGTCCGGCTCCCCGGCCGCTCCGCCCGGGGGCGGGGCGCCGCGGTCCGACACGGCGCCACTGGCCGGCGGCGGCGGGTCCCGCTGGCGGCGGCCCGTGTCTCGCAGGGTCCGCTCCACGGCCGACAGCAGCTGCTGGGAGCGGCTCAGCAGCCGGTCCGGCGAGCCCTCCGCCGCCGGCTCCGGCTCCGGCTCCGACTCCGCTGCCCCCGGCACCGGCTCCGGGCAGCTGAGGTTGCGCGCCAGCGACACGGAGCCTGAGCGGCGCGCCGACGCCGCAAACTCCTCAAACAGCTGCAGGTAGCTGGAGCTCATGGCGTCTGCCGCCGGGTGCGCCGGCTCCGGCTCGGCCGCCGGGTCTGGCGGGTGCGCCGGCTCCGGCTCGGGCGCCGGGTCTGGCGGGTGCGCCGGGTCAGCCAGGTGCGCCGGGTCTGCCGGGTCTGCCGGGTCTGTCGGGTGCGCCGGGTCTGCTGGGTCTGCCGGGTCTGTCGGGTGCGCCGGGTCTGGCAGCGACTCGCCCGCTGAGGCGGGGCCGGCCGGCTCCAGCTCCGCCGGCAGGTCCGGGGACGCGGTTGCCTCGGTCGCCGCCTGGGTCAGCCCAGCCAGCGAGTCGAACAGTCGACCATGCCTGCGAACGGACGGCACAGGTACCTGTCAATCGCCTACTCTGTGCCGCGGCGGCCTCCAAAACTGAGCAGCGCAACGCAACGCTTTTAAACCATCGGTAGTCATTGCAAGTGAAAACATGTGAAGGTACATTGATGCTGCCGATTGCGTCTGATCTGCATTCCCAAAAACGTGTAATCATGAAAGCAGTTTAGATTTGATCTGTAAGAATCTTGGATTTGATGTTCTCCCCAGCACCAGACAACACAACCTTAAAAAAACACACAAAACACACACACACAACTATTGGGCCTGCCTGGAGCCCGACTCCAGCCGTCCGGCGGCTCCGGTGTTTGAGGGCTGAGAAGGCGGGCGTCGGAGGGTGGTGGCACCCACGAGGCACTGGAACGGGAGGTACTGGGACGGGGGTACTGGAACGAGAGGTACTGGGACGGGAGGTACTGGGACGGGGGTACTGGGACGGGAGGTACTGGGACGGGGGTACTGGGACGGGGGTACTGGGACGGGGGTACTGGGACAGGAGGTACTGGGACGGTGGGTACTATAGTAGGTAGGTACCCGGGCGTAAGGTGGTACGTACGGGAGGTACTCAAGCACCAGGTAGTATGCCGTGTCCGTCTCGACCAGTCGGTGCAGCTGCACCATATGCGGCACACGCTCCGGGAGCACGGTGGCCGCGCGTGCCAAGTCCGGCGAGCAGGCGCACTTTACCACCACCTGCCGACACCGGCGGGCCACACGTGGATACCATCAGTTCTGAAAACCAATTTCAAGCCACATACGAGCACACATTATTTTCTTAGGCATTATTTCAGGCAGCGAAACAGGTGCATGGATATCCTTCCGCGAGATGGTCCCGGCCGGTAAGGTCTGTTCGCCTTCCATTCGTCCGTTCGCGTCTCCCTCCGTCCCAGGTCGCCCGGCGCCACGGCCGGGTATGCGGACCACCCTCCCGTCCCGTCCGCGGGCGGTGCGCCTGCTGTCCCCGCCCTCACCTTGACCAGGAGGCGCTGCTGCGACCCGGCGCGCCGGTCGGCCACCATCAGATGTCCGCCGGCGGCGAGCCCGAGCACTTTGTATCGCTCCAGGTGGCGGCCACCTTCAACACAGAGGCCACTGAGGCGGCGCCGGCGCAGCTAGAACACACGGACACGGACACGGCGGCCCGGTGACGCGCCCACCACACACAGCGGGCAGACGCGCCCAATACACACAGCGGACAGACGCGCCCACCACACACAGCGGGCCGGACAGACGCGCCCACCACACACAGCGGACATACGCGCCCACCACACACAGCGGGCAGACGCGCCCAATACACACAGCGGACAGACGCGCCCACCCCACACAGCGGACGCGCCCACCACACACAGCAGGCCGGACATAGGCGCTCACCACACACAGCGGGCCGGACAGAGGCGCCCACCACCCACAGCGGACAGAGGCGCCCACCACGCACAGCGGACAGACGCGCCCACCACACACAGCGGACAGACGCGCCCACCACACACAGCGGGCCGGACAGACGCGCCCACCACCCACAGCGGACAGAGGCGCCCACCACGCACAGCGGACAGACGCGCCCTCCACACACAGCGGACAGACGCGCCCACCACACACAGCAGACAGACGCGCCCACCACACACAGCAAGCCGGACATAGGCGCTCACCACACACAGCGGGCCGGACAGAGGCGCCCACCACCCACAGCGGACAGAGGCGCCCACCACACACAGCGGACAGACGCGCCCACCACACACAGCGGGCCGGACAGACGCGCCCACCACACACAGCGGACATACGCGCCCACCACACACAGCGGACTGACAGACGCGCCCACCACACAAAGCGGGCCGGACAGACGCGCCCACCACACACAGCGGACAGACGCGCCCACCACACACAGCGGACAGACACGCCCACCACACACAGCGGACAGACGCGCCCACCACACACAGCGGACAGACGCGCCCACCACACACAGCGGACAGACGCGCCCACTACACACAGTGGACAGACGCACCCACCACACACAGCGGACAGACACGCCCACCACACACAGCGGACAGACGCGCCCACCACACACAGCGGGCCGGACAGACGCGCCCACCACACACAGCGGACAGACGCGCCCACCACACACAGCGGACAGACGCGCCCACCACACACAGCGGGCCGGACAGACGCGCCCACCACACACAGCGGGCCGGACAGACGCGCCCACCACACACAGAGGACAGACGCGCCCACCCCACACAGAGGACAGACGCGCCCACCACACACAGCGGGCCGGACAGACGCGCCCACCACACACAGCGGACAGACGCGCCCACCACACACAGCGGGCCGGACAGACGCGCCCACCACATACAGCGGGCCGGACAGACGCGCCCACCACATACAGCGGGCCGGACAGACGCGCCCACCACACACAGCGGGCCGGACAGACGCGCCCACCACACACAGCGGACAGACGCGCCCACCACACACAGCGGACAGACGCGCCCACCACACACAGAGGACAGACGCGCCCACCCCACACAGAGGACAGACGCGCCCACCACACACAGCGGGCCGGACAGACGCGCCCACCACACACAGCGGGCCGGACAGAGGCGCCCACCACACACAGCGGGCCGGACAGAGGCGCCCACCGTCCACCGGACAGACGCGGGCCGCCCGCGGGCGCCTCGGCAGCGCCGGGCGGCCCGGCTGCGGGTTCCAGGGCCGGGATCGGCAGCTGCCGGGCGGCCCGGCTGCGGGTTCCAGGGCCGGGATCGGCAGCTAGGTAACAGCGACTGCAGGGTGACTGGATGCTAGAGCGGGGGAGTTCCACAGCACCGGCGCCCACAGAGCACCGCCACCCGCGCCCCTATCTGCTACACATGGCGGGACGGAACTGCCAGAAAAAGCAGCGATAGAAGAACTATAGCATACGCATACCGAGAAAGCATGGAAGCGGTGACGAATGGGGGGGGGGGGGGCACAGCGCGTGTGGCTTAAAACAGAGCAAGGCATTAAGCAGAGAACAGATGTATTGGCGGACATACAGCAAACAGGCAAGAGGCGGACACCAGACCAATATTCAAAGTGAACACAGCAAGTTAACGCTGAAAAGCATCAGAAGTACAGACGTCAGAAGAGTCGTGTCCGTTCGGCTACTGACCAGTCATGCGTGCGAGGATATGATCAACAAGACTTTAGTTTATGCAGCATGAAATATTTGATAGCAGAGAACAGCATGCCTTGTTCCTCACAAGACAAGTTAATGCAAACAGTAAATAGTCGATAGCATTTATATAAGGATTATAGCCTATAATTCCGCTTCAAGCTTGTGGTCGAAGTTCCTACGACAGTTTATAAGCAATAATGCAAACAGCAAACATGAACTGAACAGTCTTGGCACAAACATCAGTACTAATCACGCGGTGGCAGCACCCTGTTTCACCCAAGCAGACGTTAATAAAATATCATATGTATAATAAAAATACCACTTGGTCGCCGTTCCCCTCAAGCGTAACGCCGAGCTAATGTAATGGCGGCGCAGCGGCGTGTCAGGCCGCCCACAGATCGGCGCCACTCCCCACCGACCGGCTGCCTCCTATACAGTGTCCCGCCAGCTGTCCCTCCGTCCCACTGGGTGTCCCACCGAGGGCGCCACTCCGAACCGACTGTCCCATTTGTCCCACCGAGGGCGCCACTCCCCACCGACCGGCTGCCTCCTATACAGTGTCTGTCCCACCGAGAGCGCCACTCCCCACCGACCGGCTGCCTCCTATACAGTGTCCCGCCAGCTGTCCCTCCGTCCCACTGGGTGTCCCACCGAGAGCGCCACTCCGAACCGACTGTCGCATTTGTCCCACCGAGAGCGCCGCTCCGGACCGACTGTCCCATTTACATAGTCTCCCCAGCGCCGTGAGGCAAGTTACGCCAGAACATCCCCCGACCATCCCACTGGTCAGCGTCCCACCAGCTGTCTCACTGGTCAGCGTCCCACCAGCTGTCCCACTGGTCAGCGTCCCACCAGCTGTCCCACTGGTCAGCGGCCCACCTGGTCCGGCTCGTCCCGGCAGAGAGCGGCCAGCTGCTCGGCCCTGCCGATGTACAGCGCCGTTTTTCGTCGTACGGCCTCACGCCGCTCGGCGCTCGGGTCACCTGGACACAGAAGGGGCGGGGTTGTAAGGCCGCAGTGGACAGACCAGTCAGACAGACCAGTCAGACAGAACTCACAGAACAGTGGACAGACCATTGTCAGGCAGATCAGTGGACAGGCCATTGTCAGACAGATCAGTGGACAGGCCATTGTCAGACAGACCAGTGGACAGGCCGGCGTCGGTACACGGACGTCGGACACGGCCTGGCACCAGCTGCTGTGGCCGCAAACTGCAAACATCTGGACCCGTGCCGACTGACTGCCTCAGTCCCGAGCGGTGGGCCTCGCCGCGTCCCTCCCGGAGGGCGAACCACTGAGAAGTGAGAACAGTGGGCGAAGCGGCCGTCCCCCGCCGACTTCGTACCACCGAGGGTTGGCGAGGGGTGGGGCGCGCTGCGCTATCAGCGGCAGGGGCCCGAGACGTCCAAGTAGAGGCCCGCCTCCATCACTCCCTGCCGCCGTGGACCGACAGTACTGCCATCCAATTCCACCTCGGTCCGCGAGCCAGCCGCGCGGCAGCTGCAGAGACCCGCCGTGCCGCGGCAGAGGAGCGCATCCGAGAGCTCCCGCCCGAGGCCGTATGGGTCTGATCGGACGGCTCGGCGGAGGGCGGCGTGGAGAACGATGGCGGAGGCGGCCTGCTCCGCCCACCCAACGGAGACGAATGGGAGGTACGGGTGCCGGCGGGCAACTTCTGCTCCAGCACCCGCGCGGAGCTCACCGCGTTGCTGGCGGCACTGGAGGCGGCCACCGAGCTGCAGAGGAGAGCCAAAAGTTGCCTGTCTCGATTCAAAGGCGGCCCTGCTGCTCCTGGTTGGAGCCGCTGCGGCCCAGGGCTCAGTCCATATAGAAAAGCCAGTCGGCAAGTGTCACCATTGCAAAGTGCCACTTTTTAAAGGGACACTTTTGGTAACATTGGTGCCGGTGTGTAAGGGAGGCTGTATGAACCCGTCTGTCGGGCCCCCCTTTCCAATAAGTGTCCCTTAGCAGCAAAGGGGCTCTATATGAACTGGGCCCAGACCTCGACACTGGGCGCCAGGCTGTGGGCCCAGCTCCGGCGCCTGACGGTCGACGGCAGCATCATACAGCTACACTACAATGGGTCCCAGCCCACTGTGGACTCGCCGGTAACGAGAGGGCGAGCAGACAACCCCGGTCGACGTCCGCACCCTCATGCGGGTCGTTGCGCGGTCCACCAGGAGGAGGTGGCAGGCGGACTGGCCAGCTGGCTGGTACCGCACCGTCACGGGGGACCGCGCCCCCGCCCCGGTCCGAGCCGCCACCAGAGAGGAGGCTGTAGATAGCCAGCTCCATGGCGTTCAACGTGACAATGTGGTGGCGGCCTTGGCCGTCGACTACGCGGTCCACAAGAGCCGACTATAGGCTACGCTGCCGCTTCGGCGGTAGCCGGGAGGGCTAAGAACAACAGCAATAGCAGACGACACGCAAGCATCAGCAACAAGTGATAAACAACAATCAATAAGCAGCAATCAATGACACTGATGCCCACTCAAACTGCCACAAAATACAGCATTACAGCAGTTACACAATAAGACACAGGAGCGCTACCGTAGGCGCTCCAAGACCGTGACATCTTCGGCGATGGCAGCGGCTGCAAATGCGAACAGTCCGACCGGCCTGCAGGCAGACATACCACGACCTGCTCGGTCCGCGGCTGGCAGCCATACCCTGCACAGTGCACACCCCGCCCGGCCCGCCAGCGGACATACCCTGCACACCCTGCCCGGCCCGCCAGCAGACATACCCTGCACACCCCGCCCGGCCGGCCAGCAGACATGCCCTGCACACCCTGCCCGGCCCGCCAGCAGACATGCCCTGCACAGTGCACACCCTGCCCGGCCGGCCAGCAGCCATACCCTGCACACCCCGCCCGGCCCGCCAGCGGACATAGGTACCCTGCGCACAAGTCACCGACCCGGCCCACCAGCAGAATATATACCCTGCACACCCTGCCCGGCCGGCCAGCAGACATGCCCTGCACACCCCGACCGGCCCGCCAGCGGATATACCCTGCACACGCCACAGCCTGCTTGACCAGAGAGGGAGGACATACCCCGCACACCCTGCCCGGCCCGCCAGCCGCGGACATACCCTGCACGACCGGCTCGGTCCGCGGCTGGCAGCCATACCCTGCACACCCCGCCCGGCCCGCCAGCAGCCATACCCTGCACACCCCGCCCGGCCCGCCAGCAGCCATACCCTGCACAGTGCACACCCCGCCCGGCCCGCCAGCAGTCATACCCTTCACGACCGACCCGGTCCGCGGCTGGCAGCCATACCCTGCACACCCCGACCGGCCCGCCAGCGGACATACCCTGCACGACCTGCCCGGCCGGCCAGCAGACATGCCCTGCACAGTGCACACCCTGCCCGACCAGAGAGAGGACGTACCCTGCACGCCCGGCTCGGCGCGAGGGAGGAGTGGACGTACCCTGCACGCCCGGCCCGGCGCGAGGGAGGAGTGGACGTACCCTGCGCGCCCGGCCCGGCGCGAGGGAGGACGTACCCTGCACGCCGTTGATGAGTGCGCCGATGCCGTCCTGGTAGCAGGCGAACGCCAGGCCCCACTGACACTGGGACTCCGCCTGCTGCGCGCGGCTGATGGCCTCCGCCGCCTGCCGGCACACGGGCTCCGAGTCACCGCTCGGCGCACAACTGACACGACCTCCTCTTGTTCTGTTTATATCATAACTCAGGTGTTATTGGAACATGGAATGTGATATAATAAGCTGCCGAGTGCCGGGGTTAATCGGGAACTGAAGCTAAGATGTAATACACTCTTCGGGCACACACGCGCATACAAATTACAAACACAGTCGGCCTGGCAGGGGACCATTATGACCTGACCTAGAAGGTAAGCATTCTAAGACGGACACTGCCGGCCCGGCCAGTGTCGGTCAGCTCAGACATCGGTCCGTCGACTGAGCGCTGCCTCACCGTGAGCAGGTAGTCGCCGGCGTCGGGCGGGCCCGGCCCGGCCGGCGGCTCAGCCACTCCCCTGGCCGGGGACGGCGGAGCACGGCCCGGGGCCGCGGCGGGGGCAGGAGTGTGCGGCTGGGCCTGCCCGGGGTCCGCTCCGGGCGCCGGGGCGGGCGGGCGCTCCCCGGGCGGGGTCGGCGGGCGCTCCCCGGGCGGGGCCGGCAGCGACGCCGGCGGTGACGGCGGTGTGCCCACAGGCACCTCCGGCAGCTCGGGAGGCTCGGGAGCGCCGTCCAGCGTCAGGGCGGCCAGGCCGAGGTCGGTGGCCGGTCGGGGGCCGGGGCCGGGGCCGGCCGGCCACTCGTCTGCAGAGAGGTCGGGCAGCTCGCCTTCCCCGTCACTCAGCGTGTCCAGACTGGGCTCCCCGCTCGGCGGCGAGGGTACCTGCGGGCAGGGCGGCGGACTATGCTCGGACCGGGATCACCGCTCAGACTCGGATGCACGGCAAGTCCTGCCCCAACGGGCGTTAAAAACATTGAAAAACACTCCCATGTAGATAACAAAACACCACACATCGCATATAGCAAACCCACCAGTTATCCTTCAGCAATAAAAAGCGCCTACACATGCACTCCTCATAGCACCAGGTCAGACTCAATGATCGCAGTCAGCCACTCATGGCATAGGCAATCGCTGTCAGTTTCAGGCTCCTTATCTACGAGCACGAAGAGGCACCGCTGACCGTGCCGGGCTGAACTGGGAGGGCAGGTCGGTGGGACAGCCGGCCGGCCCGTACCGTGTTCAGGTGGGACAGCCGGCCGGCCCGTACCGTGGTCAGGTGGGACAGCCAGCCGGCCCGTACCGTGTTCAGGTGGGACAGCAGGTCAGGCTGCGCCGGTTCGCTGAGCAGCTGCAGGTTGCTGGGACCGCCCGCGGAGCCGGCCGCCGCCGGCAGCAGCGGGTCCAGGCCGCCCAGGCCGTCGGCCGCCGGCGCGCTGCCGTCCCCGTCGGCTGGCGGCGAGCTGCCGTCACCGGCCGCCGCCCTGGTGACGTCGCTGTCCGTCAGCGGCGCGCTGAGGTCGCTGTCCGTCAGCGAGGGCTGCGGGCTCAGCGCCGGCGGCAGACGGTCCGTCTCGTTCACCGTCCGGCAGTCGCCGTCCTGCGGCGACCGGAGACAGGTCAGAGCGGGCGAGGGCTGTTAAGGACAGAGCGCGCAGCACAGGTTAGAGCGGGGGGGGCAGCACAGGTCAGAGCGGGCGAGGGCAGGACAGAGCGGGGGCAGCACAGGTTAGAGCGGGCAGCACAGGCAAGAGCGGGCAGCACAGGTTAGAGCGGGCAGCACAGGTTAGAGCGGGGGGCACAGGTTAGAGCGGGGGGCAGCACAGGTTAGAGCGGGGGGCAGCACAGGACAGAGCGCGCAGCACAGGTTAGAGCGGGGGGGGGGGCAGCACAGGTTAGAGCGGGGGGGGGGGGCAGCACAGGTTAGAGCGGGCGAGGGCAGGACAGAGTGCGCAGCACAGGTTAGAGCGGGGGCAGGAAGACAGGGCAGGACAGACAGAATGCTGGGTGATGTTGGGAGGCTGGTAGGCTACAATGACCTTGGGCCAGTCTGACTGCACGGGAGGGACCATGTCCCGGTCTGACTGTGGGCGAGGGACTGTGGCCCGCCGGCAGGGGAGGGGGGGGGGGGCGCTCGAGGGCGCTAACCTGCTCAGAAGACCATTCAGCGGTCTCACCGCAGCGCAAACTCAGACTTACGTTACCAGTCGTTACATTAGGCCGGCTGAGTGAGAAGTATAGCGGCCACAGCTGATCTGCCGGCGGGATACCGGCACAGCCGACAGAGTATATCGGACAGCGGCAGGGTATCAAGGGGGGGGGATACTCACCTCAAAGAACCGGGAGAATGGCGCGCTGGTGAAGAGCGGCGGGTGCAGGGCCACGAACTGGAGCGCGGCGCGGATGGCGGCGCGGCGCTCCTCCAGTACGGCCGACTCGAACCTGCGCGGAAGGAGCCCACTACGGTGACCGCCCAGTAGTGACGGGTCGCCGGCCGGACAGGGGCGGCAGAGGGCCGAGCCGACTGTGGTGACGGGGCGGCAGTGGGCCGAGCCGACTGTGGTGACGGGGCGGACAGGGGCGGCAGTGGGCCGAGCCGACTGTGGTGACGGGTCGGACAGGGGCGGCAGTGGGCCGAGCCGACTGTGGTGACGGGGCGGACAGGGGCGGCAGTGGGCCGAGCCGACTGTGGTGACGGGGCGGACAGGGGCGGACAGGGGCGGCAGTGGGCCGAGCCGACTGTGGTGACGGGGCGGACAGGGGCGGCAGCGGGCCGAGCCGACTGTGGTGACGGGGCGGACAGGGGCGGACAGGGGCGGCAGTGGGCCGAGCCGACTGTGGTGACGGGGCGGACAGGGGCGGCAGTGGGCCGAGCCGACTGTGGTGACGGGGCGGACAGGGGCGGCAGTGGGCCGAGCCGACTGTGGTGACGGGGCGGCAGTGGGCCGAGCCGACTGTGGTGACGGGGCGGACAGGGGCGGCAGCCGACTATGGTGACGGGGCGGACAGGGGCGGCAGTGGGCCGAGCCGACTGTGGTGACGGGGCGGACAGGGGCGGCAGCGGGCCGAGCCGACTGTGGTGACGGGGCGGACAGGGGCGGCAGTGGGCCGAGCCGACTGTGGTGACGGGGCGGACAGGGGCGGCAGTGGGCCGAGCCGACTGTGGTAACGGGGCGGACAGGGGCGGCAGTGGACCGAGCCGACTGTGGTGACGGGGCGGACAGGGGCGGCAGTGGGCCGAGCCGACTGTGGTGACGGGGCGGCAGTGGGCCGAGCCGACTGTGGTGACGGGGCGGACAGGGGCGGCAGTGGGCCGAGCCGACTGTGGTAACGGGGCGGACAGGGGCGGCAGTGGACCGAGCCGACTGTGGTGACGGGGCGGACAGGGGCGGCAGTGGGCCGAGCCGACTGTGGTGACAGGGCGGACAGGGGCGGCAGTGGGCCGAGCCGACTGTGGTGACAGGGCGGACAGGGGCGGCAGTGGGCCGAGCCGACTGTGGTGACGGGGCGGACAGGGGCGGCAGTGGGCCGAGCCGACTGTGGTGACGGGGCGGACAGGGGCGGCAGTGGGCCGAGCCGACTGTGGTGACGGGGCGGACAGGGGCGGCAGTGGGCCGAGCCGACTGTGGTAACGGGGCGGACAGGGGCGGCAGTGGGCCGAGCCGACTGTGGTGACGGGGCGGACAGGGGCGGCAGTGGGCCGAGCCGACTGTGGTGACGGGGCGGCAGTGGGCCGAGCCGACTGTGGTGACGGGGCGGACAGGGGCGGCAGTGGGCCGAGCCGACTGTGGTGACGGGGCGGACAGGGGCGGCAGTGGGCCGAGCCGACTGTGGTGACGGGGCGGACAGGGGCGGCAGTGGGCCGAGCCGACTGTGGTGACGGGGCGGACAGGGGCGGCAGTGGGCCGAGCCGACTGTGGTGACGGGGCGGACAGGGCCGGCAGTGGGCCGAGCCGACTGTGGTGACGGGGCGGCAGTGGGCCGAGCCGACTGTGGTGACGGGGCGGACAGGGGCGGACAGGGGCGGCAGTAGGCCTAGCCGACTGTGGTGACTGGGCGGACAGGGGCGGCAGTAGGCCGAGCCGACTGTGGTGACGGGGCGGACAGGGGCGGCAGTGGGCCGAGCCGACTGTGGTCACGGGGCGGACAGGGGCGGCAGTGGGCCGAGCCGACTGTGGTCACGGGGCGGACAGGGGCGGCAGTGGGCCGAGCCGACTGTGGTGACGGGGCGGACAGGGGCGGCAGTGGGCCGAGCCGACTGTGGTGACGGGTCGGACAGGGGCGGCAGTGGGCCGAGCCGACTGTGGTGACGGGGCGGACAGGGGCGGCAGTGGGCCGAGCCGACTGTGGTGACGGGGCGGACAGGGGCGGACAGGGGCGGCAGTGGGCCGAGCCGACTGTGGTGACGGGGCGGACAGGGGCGGCAGTGGGCCGAGCCGACTGTGGTAACGGGGCGGACAGGGGCGGCAGTGGACCGAGCCGACTGTGGTGACGGGGCGGACAGGGGCGGCAGTGGGCCGAGCCGACTGTGGTGACGGGGCGGACAGGGGCGGCAGCCGACTATGGTGACGGGGCGGACAGGGGCGGCAGTGGGCCGAGCCGACTGTGGTGACGGGGCGGCAGCGGGCCGAGCCGACTGTGGTGACGGGGCGGACAGGGGCGGCAGTGGGCCGAGCCGACTGTGGTGACGGGGCGGACAGGGGCGGCAGCCGACTGTGGTGACTGGGCGGACAGGGGCGGCAGTGGGCCGAGCCGACTGTGGTGACGGGGCGGCAGCGGGCCGAGCCGACTGTGGTGACGGGGCGGACAGGGGCGGCAGTGGGCCGAGCCGACTGTGGTGACGGGGCGGACAGGGGCGGCAGCGAGCCCAGCAGACTGTGGTGACGGGGCGGACAGGGGCGGCAGTGGGCCGAGCCGACTGTGGTGACGGGGCGGACAGGGGCGGCAGCCGACTATGGTGACGGGGCGGACAGGGGCGGCAGTGGGCCGAGCCGACTGTGGTGACGGGGCGGCAGCGGGCCGACCCGACTGTGGTGACGGGGCGGACAGGGGCGGCAGTGGGCCGAGCCGACTATGGTGACGGGGCGGACAGGGGCGGCAGCCGACTGTGGTGACTGGGCGGACAGGGGCGGCAGTGGGCCGAGCCGACTGTGGTGACGGGGCGGACAGGGGCGGCAGTGGGCCGAGCCGACTGTGGTGACGGGGCGGACAGGGGCGGCAGTGGGCCGAGCCGACTGTGGTGACTGGGCGGACAGGGGCGGCAGTGGGCCGAGCCGACTGTGGTGACGGGGCGGCAGCGGGCCGAGCCGACTGTGGTGACGGGGCGGACAGGGGCGGCAGTGGGCCGAGCCGACTGTGGTGACGGGGCGGACAGGGGCGGCAGCGAGCCCAGCAGACTGTGGTGACGGGGCGGACAGGGGCGGCAGTGGGCCGAGCCGACTGTGGTGACGGGGCGGACAGGGGCGGCAGCGGGCCGAGCCGACTGTGGTGACGGGGCGGACAGGGGCGGCAGTGGGCCGAGCCGACTGTGGTGACGGGGCGGACAGGGGCGGCAGTGGGCCGAGCCGACTGTGGTGACGGGGCGGACAGGGGCGGCAGTGGGCCGAGCCGACTGTGGTGACGGGGCGGACAGGGGCGGCAGCCGACTGTGGTGACGGGGCGGACAGGGGCGGCAGTGGGCCGAGCCGACTGTGGTAACGGGGCGGACAGGGGCGGCAGCGGGCCGAGCCGACTGTGGTGACGGGGCGGACAGGGGCGGCAGTGGGCCGAGCCGACTGTGGTGACGGGGCGGACAGGGGTGGCTCACACGGCCAGACAGCACCACCACTCGCAGCTTGCCTGATGCTAATCTAGTACCTACATCTCAGACATCATTCCACATGTGACTTAACGCTAGTTGTCTGACTAGTTTGCCAGATGTCTAGACATCTGGTGAAACATAATAAGCCCGCGCCTTGCTTGGGGGTCACTCCCCTCGTTTTTCGTGAATATCTAAAAAACGGCAACATCCAGCGCCTCCGTTTTCGGTACACCTGTTCATACATCTTTTCTGCACATGTTGTGAAAATTTCAAACCTGGGTCGTTCAAGGTCAGGTCACCAGGTCACGTCAAGTGACCTTACCACAGAAAAAAATTCGAAGGCTCGCTGTAGCCACACCGGCTGAAAAATCACTTTGAAACTTTCAGCGATTGATAAGAGTAACAGTATGTATAACTGTTTACCTTAAAATTTTGATATATATGTGACCTAAGGTCAGGTCAATTTTGCAGCCTCATTATACATTATACATTATACGTCAATGGGAAAAAAATTAAAATGCGCCTCTTTTGGACGAAAGTCGTTCTGAGCACCCTCAAACATCGTTCATAGGTAAATATGACACACCGAATCGGAAAATTGCACCCGTGACCCCCCTGTGTGCCCCTGAGGCCATCTTAAGTCAAGAAAGTTCAGCAGCAGTTTTTAGTTCCACTTTTGATAGAGACATGCTAGAGCGGTCAAAACACGTCAGATGTGTTCAGCTCGACCATACGGATCGACCGACATGCAGCATGACCCTTTCCGGTCACGTCATTGTTAGATGCGTTTACATAGGGTTTGTTGCAAGCTTATATCTCCGTCCGTGATGTTGCAAAAGATGCCAATGGTGCTGAACAATTTACAAAATGATCCCCTCTAAATATTTGAAGACCACTGCATCGAAATTATCGCCAAATTTACGAGCTAGAGCCTCGTCAAATATGCTATGTAAACCGGGTTGTTGTGAGCTGGCCCAGTCGGTGCGGCGGCACAGTATCCTATCCTGCCCCTGTCGGGTCGCGGTGCGGGCCGCAGCCGAGCCGTGCGGTCCGCGGCCGGGGCCCTGTTTCACGGCGGAGCGCTGCAGTGCGCTGCGCGCGTCGGCGCGTTGGGTTTCCATGGCAATATCAACAAACTTTCCTCTGACGCTATGCTATGACGTCATCGCAAAACGCTAGCACCCAAGCGCCAGCACCATCAGCACGATAGCAGCATTCGCACTCAAACCTCTGTTCTCTCTGTACTTGGTTCCTTAGGACCTCTGTTCCAAAAGCGATTCATCATAAGCTAACGGATCGCACGCAACGTCATTCGAGTGACGTCAGGGGTACGCCTCAGCTCCCAGCGCTGCAGCGCGCGCAGCGTCGGGCGGTGAAACAGGGCCCGGGCCGTCCGGCCTGCCGCCGCAGGGCAGGCCGATCACGTGACCAGGTGTGTAAGCGGCAACTGATTGCTTGTTCGTTGTATGTGCGTGTGTGTGAGGTCGATGTCGTGTGTTGCTGGCATGGTGGGGTCGGTGTGCTTTCGGACGCGCTCCAATACAGTCTACAGGCCGCAGCTCGCCTCTCAAGAGATCACCAGGGCAGGATCGACATCAGTCATGACCTTGAACTACGGTCAAATTTTCAAAATGACTCCGAGGTCAACCTATAGTTCATTCGACGCGCCTCGACGAAAGGAGCACGATGCTGGCAAAAGTAATGTCGTGTCTCTCTGGAATCAAAAGTTATTACCGAAAAAAAAACTGTAAAAATTACTATTTTTATCATTTTAGACCTCTGCGGCCGTATTCACAATCACGGGTTAAGGGTAGGGGTAGGAGTAACGGGCAACGGGTTATTTTTGTGGCCGAATTCACAATCGACGTTTACCTCTGATGGTCGCCCGGCGCCACGCAGACGGCACCACGCAGGCCAGGTGGCAGGTGCCGTCTGCGTGGTGCCGGGCGACCATCAGAGGTACTGTCGATTGTGAATACGGGCACAAAAAAGGCCGTTACCAGTTACTCCTACCTGTGAATACGGCCACTGGAGCTGCTAAACCGTGGACCTGAGGTAAAATCTGCGATCAATACTCAGAAAGCGGCCTGTGAAAAAGCTATCGAATGTGCTTTTCAGCCAGGGCAGGGCAGGGCAGGGTCAGTGTTTTCAGATTTTGTTTTGTCTTGTTTATTTGTTAATCATCAACGGGGTATTCCCCCAATCACAGATGAAGTCAGTTTTTTTTTCAGTCAGTCAGAAGATTTTGTCACATTCTACGGGGTTTTTCTTTTTAAGTTGCTCATCTTGGGCGCTGTTCCAGCCTTGCTCGATATCAGCAGCTCAAACTGTAACAGTGCCATATGATGGACCACATTTCAACCAATAAGTTCAATCTCTTGTCCTTTTTCATTTCAGATGAAGATATGCATTAAAATCGAAATACTTTATAACACTTTGGTTCTCGATTTTCTCCCATAGCACTGAACGGGTTCACCTCTTGTTCACCTTGACGGGCCCTAAAAACGAAACAAAGTACCTACTAGAACTTCAAAACTTGGTCTACACACATAAATAGTGGCAAAACATGTGACGAAATTTTCATTAACCTGCGTCACCTGTAACTGTGTTTTTTCATTCGTCCCATGTACCAAACAAGAGGCCAATCATGTCACCCCCACCCCCCCACCCGCAATGTCGGCTGTAAAAACGCCAATTCAGGCTAGGGGTACATACAGGCTAAAGCAAACACACCAGGTGGCAAACGACGGATTACATGCGACTGCGGGTCTTACTGCAGCATATTTTATATAAATTGTGTTGAAGACTCCTGTCAGGTTTATTGTTAGTACCTACAAACGACAAACGATGAAACGTACAAACGCCGGTCCCGTAGCTCAGTTGGTAGAGCGTTGGACTCCGCGTGGTGAGAGGACGCGTTCCCGGTTATAACAGTCCGGGTTCGAAGCGTGACGGGCGCTTGACATTTATGGGCATCCTGACAGGTATGGTTGCGGTTAGTGGCAGGCCGTAGCCAGGCGAAGTCAGTGAGGGGGTCGGCCGTGCGCACTGCGCGGCTAGTTATGTGCGCACGTTAAACTTTGGACTCCAAATTCTGCCATAGAACCGGAATTGCGTGATCGGAGGGTAGAGGGCAGGGTCACCGCAACAAGCTTCGCTTAGCGGTGGCTCTGTCCTTGTGAATCCTTCCTATCAAAAGGTTCGGACTAAATTTATAAAAAAAAAAACGACCTCTTATGTGGTGGAACGTACGTCGTTATCGGTTATCATGGTACAGCCCACCGCTAACATAATGTGCGGTTTTACCAATTTCAACGGATGGCTTTGACTGGCGACATTTTAACCCGCGCACCGACGGGGGGGGCGGATATCCGCCCCCCTGAGGTTTTTCGCGAATAGCGGGAAAACCGCGGCGCGTAGCGCCGCGAAATTTGGTATGACTATTCCCTTATCAATTTCACACATGGTGTGCAAGTTTGAACCTCCTACCTTTCAAGGTCAGGTCACCAGGTCACTTTGAATGACCCAACCTCAAGTCACTTTTTTGCAACTTTGTCACCGTGCCAGAGCTACAGTAGATGTCGGAGGCCTTTGAAAGTCGCAGGATGTTGTTAGGTCATTAGTAGCTACAATTTGTATATCTCGGAATTTTGATATCGGTGACCTAAGGTCAGGTCAATTTCGCGACCTCCCCGTTATAAGTCAATGGGGGAAAAATCAACTCCCTGTTTTTACCACTAAAACGGGTCGGAATGGCCCCATATACCATACATGACTTCATATACGATCAACCTTCACTACCTTGAGGTCTGTTTTGCTGTTGGGCAGCTGTGAGGTCATGTGACGTCATCAAAGGTCACCAAAGGTTTTTGGCCAATAACTCCGTACAGGAACAAGATACAGACGCGTGGATGGTCTCATTGTGTTCAGCTCGTCAAGACGCATCGAATGATATACATGATGACCCAGGTTGACCCAGATGCCCCAGGCTTTCCAGTTTTACGCCCCTGAGGGGTGTTTGAATATTCCCTTCTAACCTGACTCCAGGGTCACGTAGCGACAAGTGCGGCGGTAGACGGCTTTCTAAAGAGCGTCGAAAATCATGGAGAAATTACTTCAGTCATGTTGCAGTTCAGACCAAAGCCCACGTCATCATGTTCATCGAAGGAAAAGTTTCGCCTATTTCGACACTCGAGGACATATAAAGCTATAGCGCGCTGCAAGTGGGTTCGATAGCTCTCTAACGCGTGCAATCAGCCATGGACGGGGGGGGGGGGCGTATCGGCCAAACCCGTCGACCCGATCATAATTTAAGAAGGCTAGAAAGACGAGAAAAGCAACAGATAGCTGTAGGATGCTTCAGAATCGTAGAGGTCATTTTTCGATTAGGTCATCGCTGAGGTCATCGAAGATGAAATTATGATAAAATAATGATAAACACAAAGACAAGATTACGACGAATAAATTCTAGTTTTTATATTTTCACAAATAACCGTATAACTCGTGAACCAAAGAGCTAGAGCTTCGCGGAACAACTCATTCGATAGGCCTTTCAAAACGCTGTCGCTTTTAAGATTTGACCTCAATGCCTCATATCAATGGTTTGGCTACAGAGCAGAGGGCAAAACCATCTAAATAGTCGCATTTTACCAAAATAGTTTTGCTAAAAACTTTTGCAAGAACTTTGGTGAGAAAAATTATGAGACATTTACTTTGTCATCATTCTCTCGTTAACATGCATCGAATGTTAACACCTATGATTGCACATAAAAAGTTCAACTTCAAAATGTGACCGCAGATCAAGGTCATGCCCTTACCTACTTGAGAAGTTCATGATGGTCATCAACTCATCCGTATGTATGATCTAACACCTTCAAGACAATTTCATTACTCTACCTCGTCCTACATATATCAAAAGTAATAGTCGAAAAACTGATGTTGAGCTTTTTTAAAAGCTTTTTGACCTAGCCCGAACATTTGAGTGGCCGCTGGCCATCAATTGCACGCTGTCTGTCAAATATGGGCAGAATGGTCGTGTTTCTGTAAATATGCTGTTGTTTTTTACGTGCCTCTTCAGATCAAGAGATATTTGTCCTTTTCCCCGATTTGGCTGGTAATGATCAGGACAATGATCTGAATTTTCGTTGTTGGTAAGGGGCCCCCATTAGGTTGAGGGGGGCCCACTTTGCTGGGGGACCCATGGCGAACGTCTCTCACCCCCGTCGCCAGAGTTCTGGCTGCGCCACTGGCAGACACCACAGGTTGGGGCAGAAATAGGGGCAGGTTTCAGGAAGATTGGGGCAGAAACAGGAAAATCTGGTGCAGAAGTTAAAAAATTGACACAGAAGTGATTTTCTCAGCTTCTCACTGCTTCCTACATCATTATATTGTTACATTATTTGCATCATTAGGGGCAGGAATTGGGCTGCCCCTGGACTCAGCATTCTGATTCGGGGCAGGATTTTGTCTGCCCCGAAAATCTTGTTGAGCTCCCTGGCATGTTTTGCAGACTGGTCTATTTGCAGTGATTTCCGACCGACTGATAACATAATCTTTGAGTTATTACCGGTTTTGTCGAAAAAGAATAGCTACCACGCAGTCTGCTGAGGGCTGTACCTATGGTTGCAGCACATACCTATTGAAGTAGCTGGTCCTCGAGAGGGGAGGAAAGGTGCCTTTCAAGTAGAGTGCAGCATGCAAAGAGCTCATCTCTGCATGCAGCTTCTTGAATTCGCTGAATCTCTTCCAGACAGTGACCTGAGTCGAGGCTTCTGGACACTGGCAGGGAAACACCTGGCAGCATAGGCAGGTAGCCGCAACTGACAAAAATGAAAAATGCTGATTTCACATGTCTACTGTCCAACTCTAGACACATTTGCCAACGCACGCATGCACGCGCGCACAAATACTGAAATGCAAAATGATTGTAGAACATTTAAAGGGATGCAGTCTGAGGCAATTATATCGCAATAGCTATTAGCATGTATACTGATTGATATGCGGTAAACTAACTGGAAAATGGATTAACTTACTCTGGACACGATTTTATAAACTGTGTAGCCTTTGGCATGCCTCTCAAAACAGGGCACCTCAAATATTCGAACCCATCCGTCATTTTTGGCATTTGTTCTGCTCATTGTCTCACTTCAGTTCCTGAAACAAACAAAAAATGGAGAAAAATGAAAAGGTCACATATAGTAAAGGAGCATAACTCAAAGCAAATGATAGTGGCCCCGCTGCGTCTCCCGGACGGCAAAGATTCTTTACCGTCCAGCCAATCCCGTCCAAGGTCAGCGGGGGCTCGGCTGCGGTTATGAAACGTGATTGGCCGGACGGCGTAGAATCTTCGCCGTCCGAGAGACATCGAACGCGGTGTCAGACTTACTGCGCCGTTTTCGTCAATATATGCCTGTTTGTAAACATTTTATTTTGCCGAGCTGCCGGCAAAACTCATCGGAAGTTGGCACAGATTCAGCACAGATTCAGCACAGCACAGATTCGGTAGGGGGAAAAAAGGCCCCGGTAGAGGGAAACCTTTATGACCCATTTTCCCCTAGAAATGACGTCACAAAGAGGTAAAAATGGGTATCAATCGAAAGCTCTCGTTTACCCAGACACAGTCCTGCAGGAAAATTCCACTTTTTCCCCATAGGAAAGTTTTTACGGGAAAATCAAAATTTCGGGTCAATGGGGGGTCCCCCCCGATTTCGTTCAAAATCGGCACACAGGTGCCCCACCACCAGCCGAGAAACTTTCACCAAAACGGTCCCCGTTGCATTGACGTTTAAGGCCCGTAAAGCCCCCTAGACTCGTAAAATATCCGTAAAATCGCCTTTGTACGGACAAAAAAGTGGTGCTATGGTAAAAATGGGTATCAATCGAAAGCTCTCGTTTACCCAGACACAGTCCTGCAGGAAAATTCCACTTTTTTCCCATAGGAAAGTTTTTACGGGAAAATCAAAATTTTGGGTCAATGGGGGGTCCCCCCCGATTTCGTTCAAAATCGGCACACAGGTGCCCCACCACCAGCCGAGAAACTTTCCCCAAAACGGTCCCCGTTGCATTGACGTTTAAGGCCCTTAGAGCCCCGTAAACTCGTAAAAAATCCGTAAATTCGCCCTTGTACGGCCAAAAACGGGGCGCTAGGGTAAAAATGGGTATCAATCAAAAGCTCTCGTTTACCCAGACACAGTCCTGCAGGAAAATTCCACTTTTTTCCCATAGGAAAGTTTTTACGGGAAAATCAAAATTTCTGGTCAATGGGGGGTCCCCCCGATTTCGTTCAAAATCGGCACACAGGTGCCCCACCACCAGCCGAGAAACTTTCCCCAAAACGGTCCCCGTTGCATTGACGTTTAAGGCCCTTAAAGCCCCGTAAACTCGTAAAAAATCCGTAAATTCGCCCTTGTACGGCCAACAACGGGGCGCTAGGGTAAAAATGGGTATCAATCGAAAGCTCTCGTTTACCCAGACACAGTCCTGCAGGAAAATTCCACTTTTTCCCCATAGGAAAGTTTTTACGGGAAAATCAAAATTTCGGGTCAATGGGGGGTCCCCCCGATTTCGTTCAAAATCGGCACACAGGTGCCCCACAACCAGCCGAGAAACTTCCCCCAAAACGGTCCCGTTGCATTGACGTTTAAGGCCCGTAAAGCCCCCTAGACTCGTAAAATATCCGTAAAATCGCCTTTGTACGGACAAAAAAGTGGGTCTATGGTAAAAATGGGTATCAATCGAAAGCTCTCGTTTACCCAGACACAGTCCTGCAGGAAAATTCCACTTTTTTCCCATAGGAAAGTTTTTACGGGAAAATCAAAATTTTGGGTCAATGGGGGGTCCCCCCCCCCGATTTCGTTCAAAATCGGCACACAGGTGCCCCACCACCAGCCGAGAAACTTTCCCCAAAACGGTCCCCGTTGCATTGACGTTTAAGGCCCTTAAAGCCCCGTAAACTCGTAAAAAATCCGTAAATTCGCCCTTGTACGGCCAAAAACGGGGCGCTAGGGTAAAAATGGGTATCAATCGAAAGCTCTCGTTTACCCAGACACAGTCCTGCAGGAAAATTCCACTTTTTCCCCATAGGAAAGTTTTTACGGGAAAATCAAAATTTCGGGTCAATGGGGGGTCCCCCCCGATTTCGTTCAAAATCGGCACACAGGTGCCCCACCACCAGCCGAGAAACTTTCACCAAAACGGTCCCCGTTGCATTGACGTTTAAGGCCCGTAAAGCCCCCTAGACTCGTAAAATATCCGTAAAATCGCCTTTGTACGGACAAAAAAGTGGTGCTATGGTAAAAATGGGTATCAATCGAAAGCTCTCGTTTACCCAGACACAGTCCTGCAGGAAAATTCCACTTTTTTCCCATAGGAAAGTTTTTACGGGAAAATCAAAATTTTGGGTCAATGGGGGGTCCCCCCCGATTTCGTTCAAAATCGGCACACAGGTGCCCCACCACCAGCCGAGAAACTTTCCCCAAAACGGTCCCCGTTGCATTGACGTTTAAGGCCCTTAGAGCCCCGTAAACTCGTAAAAAATCCGTAAATTCGCCCTTGTACGGCCAAAAACGGGGCGCTAGGGTAAAAATGGGTATCAATCAAAAGCTCTCGTTTACCCAGACACAGTCCTGCAGGAAAATTCCACTTTTTTCCCATAGGAAAGTTTTTACGGGAAAATCAAAATTTCTGGTCAATGGGGGGTCCCCCCGATTTCGTTCAAAATCGGCACACAGGTGCCCCACCACCAGCCGAGAAACTTTCCCCAAAACGGTCCCCGTTGCATTGACGTTTAAGGCCCTTAAAGCCCCGTAAACTCGTAAAAAATCCGTAAATTCGCCCTTGTACGGCCAACAACGGGGCGCTAGGGTAAAAATGGGTATCAATCGAAAGCTCTCGTTTACCCAGACACAGTCCTGCAGGAAAATTCCACTTTTTCCCCATAGGAAAGTTTTTACGGGAAAATCAAAATTTCGGGTCAATGGGGGGTCCCCCCGATTTCGTTCAAAATCGGCACACAGGTGCCCCACAACCAGCCGAGAAACTTCCCCCAAAACGGTCCCGTTGCATTGACGTTTAAGGCCCGTAAAGCCCCCTAGACTCGTAAAATATCCGTAAAATCGCCTTTGTACGGACAAAAAAGTGGGTCTATGGTAAAAATGGGTATCAATCGAAAGCTCTCGTTTACCCAGACACAGTCCTGCAGGAAAATTCCACTTTTTTCCCATAGGAAAGTTTTTACGGGAAAATCAAAATTTTGGGTCAATGGGGGGTCCCCCCCCCGATTTCGTTCAAAATCGGCACACAGGTGCCCCACCACCAGCCGAGAAACTTTCCCCAAAACGGTCCCCGTTGCATTGACGTTTAAGGCCCTTAAAGCCCCGTAAACTCGTAAAAAATCCGTAAATTCGCCCTTGTACGGCCAAAAACGGGGCGCTAGGGTAAAAATGGGTATCAATCGAAAGCTCTCGTTTACCCAGACACAGTCCTGCAGGAAAATTCCACTTTTTCCCCATAGGAAAGTTTTTACGGGAAAATCAAAATTTCGGGTCAATGGGGGTCCCCCCCGATTTCGTTCAAAATCGGCACACAGGTGCCCCACCACCAGCCGAGAAACTTTCCCCAAAACGGTCCCCGTTGCATTGACGTTTAAGGCCCTTAAAGCCCCGTAAACTCGTAAAAAATCCGTAAATTCGCCCTTGTACGGCCAAAAACGGGGCGCTAGGGTAAAAATGGGTATCAATCGAAAGCTCTCGTTTACCCAGACACAGTCCTGCAGGAAAATTCCACTTTTTCCCCATAGGAAAGTTTTTACGGGAAAATCAAAATTTCGGGTCAATGGGGGGTCCCCCCCGATTTCGTTCAAAATCGGCACACAGGTGCCCCACCACCAGCCGAGAAACTTTCCCCAAAACGGTCCCCGTTGCATTGACGTTTAAGGCCCGTAAAGCCCCCTAGACTCGTAAAATATCCGTAAAATCGCCTTTGTACGGACAAAAAAGTGGTGCTATGGTAAAAATGGGTATCAATCGAAAGCTCTCGTTTACCCAGACACAGTCCTGCAGGAAAATTCCACTTTTTCCCATAGGAAAGTTTTTACGGGAAAATCAAAATTTTGGGTCAATGGGGGGTCCCCCCCGATTTCGTTCAAAATCGGCACACAGGTGCCCCACCACCAGCCGAGAAACTTTCTCCAAAACGGTCCCCGTTGCATTGACGTTTAAGGCCCTTAAAGCCCCGTAAACTCGTAAAAAAATCCGTAAATTCGCCCTTGTACGGCCAAAAACGGGGCGCTAGGGTAAAAATGGGTATCAATCGAAAGCTCTCGTTTACCCAGACACAGTCCTGCAGGAAAATTCCACTTTTTCCCCATAGGAAAGTTTTTACGGGAAAATCAAAATTTCGGGTCAATGGGAGTCCCCCCCGATTTCGTTCAAAATCGGCACACAGGTGCCCCACCACCAGCCGAGAAACTTTCCCCAAAACGGTCCCCGTTGCATTGACGTTTAAGGCCCGTAAAGCCCCCTAGACTCGTAAAATATCCGTAAAATCGCCTTTGTACGGACAAAAAAGTGGTGCTATGGTAAAAATGGGTATCAATCGAAAGCTCACGTTTACCCAGACACAGTCCTGCAGGAAAATTCCACTTTTTTCCCATAGGAAAGTTTTTACGGGAAAATCAAAATTTTGGGTCAATTGGGGGTCCCCCCCGATTTCGTTCAAAATCGGCACACAGGTGCCCCACCACCAGCCGAGAAACTTTCCCCAAAACGGTCCCCGTTGCATTGACGTTTAAGGCCCTTAAAGCCCCGTAAACTCGTAAAAAATCCGTAAATTCGCCCTTGTACGGCCAAAAACGGGGCGCTAGGGTAAAAATGGGTATCAATCGAAAGCTCTCGTTTACCCAGACACAGTCCTGCAGGAAAATTCCACTTTTTCCCCATAGGAAAGTTTTTACGGGAAAATCAAAATTTCGGGTCAATGGGGGGTCCCCCCGATTTCGTTCAAAATCGGCACACAGGTGCCCCACCACCAGCCGAGAAACTTCCCCCAAAACGGTCCCGTTGCATTGACGTTTAAGGCCCGTAAAGCCCCCTAGACTCGTAAAATATCCGTAAAATCGCCTTTGTACGGACAAAAAAGTGGGTCTATGGTAAAAATGGGTATCAATCGAAAGCTCTCGTTTACCCAGACACAGTCCTGCAGGAAAATTCCACTTTTTCCCCATAGGAAAGTTTTTACGGGAAAATCAAAATTTCGGGTCAATGGGGGGTCCCCCCGATTTCGTTCAAAATCGGCACACAGGTGCCCCACCACCAGCCGAGAAACTTTCCCCAAAACGGTCCCCGTTGCATTGACGTTTAAGGCCCGTAAAGCCCCCTAGACTCGTAAAATATCCGTAAAATCGCCTTTGTACGGACAAAAAAGTGGTGCTATGGTAAAAATGGGTATCAATCGAAAGCTCTTGTTTACCCAGACACAGTCCTGCAGGAAAATTCCATTTTTTTCCAATAGGAAAGTTTTTACGGGAAAATCAAAATTTTGGGTCAATGGGGGCCCCCCCGATTTCGTTCAAAATCGGCACACAGGTGCCCCACCACCAGCCGAGAAACTTTCCCCAAAACGGTCCCCGTTGCATTGACGTTTAAGGCCCTTAAAGCCCCGTAAACTCGTAAAAAATCCGTAAATTCGCCCTTGTACGGCCAAAAACGGGGCGCTAGGGTAAAAATGGGTATCAATCGAAAGCTCTCGTTTACCCAGACACAGTCCTGCAGGAAAATTCCACTTTTTCCCCATAGGGAAGTTTTTACGGGAAAATCAAAATTTCGGGTCAATGGGGGGTCCCCCCCGATTTCGTTCAAAATCGGCACACAGGTGCCCCACCACCAGCCGAAATCGGGGGGACCCCCCCCCATTGACCCGAAATTTTGATTTTCCCGTAAAAACTTTCCTATGGGAAAAAAGTGGAATTTTCCTGCAGGACTGTGTCTGGGTAAACGAGAGCTTTCGATTGATACCCATTTTTACCATAGCACCACTTTTTTGTCCGTACAAAGGCGATTTTACGGATATTTTACGAGTCTAGGGGGCTTTACGGGCCTTAAACGTCAATGCAACGGGGACCGTTTTGGGGAAAGTTTCTCGGCTGGTGGTGGGGCACCTGTGTGCCGATTTTGAACGAAATCGGGGGGGACCCCCCATTGACCCGAAATTTTGATTTTCCCGTAAAAACTTTCCTATGGGGAAAAAGTGGAATTTTCCTGCAGGACTGTGTCTGGGTAAACGAGAGCTTTCGATTGATACCCATTTTTACCCTAGCGCCCCGTTTTTGGCCGTACAAGGGCGAATTTACGGATTTTTTTACGAGTTTACGGGGCTTTAAGGGCCTTAAACGTCAATGCAACGGGGACCGTTTTGGGGAAAGTTTCTCGGCTGGTGGTGGGGCACCTGTGTGCCGATTTTGAACGAAATCGGGGGGGACCCCCCATTGACCCAAAATTTTGATTTTCCCATAAAAACTTTCCTATGGGAAAAAAGTGGAATTTTCCTGCAGGACTGTGTCTGGGTAAACGAGAGCTTTCGATTGATACCCATTTTTACCATAGCACCACTTTTTTGTCCGTACAAAGGCGATTTTACGGATATTTTACGAGTCTAGGGGGCTTTACGGGCCTTAAACGTCAATGCAACGGGGACCGTTTTGGGGAAAGTTTCTCGGCTGGTGGTGGGGCACCTGTGTGCCGATTTTGAACGAAATCGGGGGGACCCCCCATTGACCCGAAATTTTGATTTTCCCGTAAAAACTTTCCTATGGGAAAAAAGTGGAATTTTCCTGCAGGACTGTGTCTGGGTAAACGAGAGCTTTCGATTGATACCCATTTTTACCCTAGCGCCCCGTTTTTGGCCGTACAAGGGCGAATTTACGGATTTTTTACGAGTTTACGGGGCTTTAAGAGCCTTAAACGTCAATGCAACGGGGACCGTTTTGGGGAAAGTTTCTCGGCTGGTGGTGGGGCACCTGTGTGCCGATTTTGAACGAAATCGGGGGGACCCCCAATTGACCCAAAATTTTGATTTTCCCGTAAAAACTTTCCTATGGGAAAAAAGTGGAATTTTCCTGCAGGACTGTGTCTGGGTAAACGAGAGCTTTCGATTGATACCCATTTTTACCATAGCACCACTTTTTTGTCCGTACAAAGGCGATTTTACGGATATTTTACGAGTTTAGGGGGCTTTACGGGCCTTAAACGTCAATGCAACGGGGACCGTTTTGGGGAAAGTTTCTCGGCTGGTGGTGGGGCACCTGTGTGCCGATTTTGAACGAAATCGGGGGGGACCCCCATTGACCCGAAATTTTGATTTTCCCGTAAAAACTTTCCTATGGGGAAAAAGTGGAATTTTCCTGCAGGACTGTGTCTGGGTAAACGAGAGCTTTCGATTGATACCCATTTTTACCCTAGCGCCCCGTTTTTGGCCGTACAAGGGCGAATTTACGGATTTTTTTACGAGTTTACGGGGCTTTAAGGGCCTTAAACGTCAATGCAACGGGGACCGTTTTGGGGAAAGTTTCTCGGCTGGTGGTGGGGCACCTGTGTGCCGATTTTGAACGAAATCGGGGGGGGGGGGACCCCCCATTGACCCAAAATTTTGATTTTCCCGTAAAAACTTTCCTATGGGAAAAAGTGGAATTTTCCTGCAGGACTGTGTCTGGGTAAACGAGAGCTTTCGATTGATACCCATTTTTACCATAGCACCACTTTTTTGTCCGTACAAAGGCGATTTTACGGATATTTTACGAGTCTAGGGGGCTTTACGTGCCTTAAACGTCAATGCAACGGGGACCGTTTTGGGGAAAGTTTCTCGGCTGGTGGTGGGGCACCTGTGTGCCGATTTTGAACGAAATCGGGGGGGACCCCCCATTGACCCGAAATTTTGATTTTCCCGTAAAAACTTTCCTATGGGGAAAAAGTGGAATTTTCCTGCAGGACTGTGTCTGGGTAAACGAGAGCTTTCGATTGATACCCATTTTTACCCTAGCGCCCCGTTTTTGGCCGTACAAGGGCGAATTTACGGATTTTTTACGAGTTTACGGGGTACCCATTGATACCTGATGATACCCATTTTTACCTCTTTGTGACGTCATTTCTAGGGGAAAACGGGTCATAAAGGTTTCCCTCTACCGGGGCCTTTTTTCCCCCTACCGAATCTGTGCTGTACTGAATCTGTGCTGAATCTGTGCCAACTTCCGTTACATCTAACTGCTGCATTTTATTGGTGAAGCACACGAACTCCACCAATTAAAAGCCGAGAAACCGAAGTATGACTGATAAAAGAGAATTGTGAACGAACAGGACTTGCTAAGTTATTTACAGCGCGGTGGAGAGCGCGGCAATTTTTATTACTGAGATCACTGACAGGTGCTCGGTTTCTGCAAATTTTATACATATTAATATATCATATCACAATATATGATATCACTTCTCTTTGTGCCTTGTGGTGTTTGAGCTTCCATAATCAAATGCTTCCGCTGTTAGTTGGCCTATTGAAACGGGTACAATTTCAATTTGAGCCGTTTGAGTCCCATAAGGGTTTATGCCGTATTCCCGGAAAAATGAGGTCATTTTTTAAAGCATGAAATAATTAGGTAGATATCTACCTTACCTACCTTGCCACTACATAGTTTTGAAGGCTTGACCATAAAGCCTGTGAGTCTCTAGTTCTGAGGCCATTACCAACAGAATAATAGCCGCCTACCGGAATTTTTTGCCCAAAGACCGCTTTAAATATGGTGTGTAAATGGTAAAGCCCTATCCGCTTACCTGCCCAGCACTTTTACTTACGCTCCATATGTGAAGGTGACTATTTTTCTGTTGTTAAAACTGGCCTCTGATCTGATCTCATTGATTCCCTGTCAATTGACAATCATATCTTGTTTGTGTTGTACCTAATTATAACATAGGTAATAACATGCTCAGGAATTGCATGAAAAGGACTCTAAATTCATCAGTCAACCTCAAAGCTTGTCACAGAAGATCCAATAAGATCCTTAAAACCATGACGTTTAATCATACTAACTTAAGCTGCATAAAACTAAAAACAAATGGCTTATCATTTGACTTATCATTATTACTTGACTTATCATTTGAGTTATCATTTGTCAACAAATGACTTATGTTATGGTTTGGTTCAATGTTTAATGACCAGAGATAACCTACCAGAGATAACCTAACATCTACCCTATGCCTATGGTGTAAGTGAACAGACAATGTTTATGTACTGTGCATGATAACTTATAAAATTTAAGTTATGCCCATCACTTTACTGGTGGTGATGTTACAGGGAGCACCTGAGATGGAGTCTGTCCAGGACGTGAAGGAAGACCTGACAGGGACACTGCCTAGCCTAGTGGACCTTCTGCAAACACTCTCTGCAGATACAATCATTGCCTGGCTGTCATCCAGCTCTTTGGTGAGACTCAGGGGGTGTGCCAACTGGTAATAAACATCTATAGGGATCTTGGTAATAGCATTATGGTGTCTCAGGCTATGTAACTATGGATTGCATGATGCACAAAGCTTAACCCGCGCCCCGCTGGGGGGGGGGCAGAATCTGCCCCCCCTCCCGTTTTTCGCCAATAACTTCTAAACGCGTCACGTCAGTGACGTTAAATTTACAGTACCTTATCATACATCAATTTGACACGTTCCCTGAAAATTTGAGCGAAATCCGTCGGAAATTTTTTGAGAAATTGACGTTTTAGTGACGTCATGTTCGCCATTTTCGCCTCAAAAACGGCAAAATTTCAAACGCCGCTAACATCTTCATTTTTAAAGGAATCAAGACGTAACAAAAAAGGTTATACGTGATTCCACTTTGTCTATCAAATGGCTATCTCGGTTTTTTGAATATTTTGGATTTTGGCCCAAATTTTTTCAAAAAACTGACTTTTTTGGGAAAATAATTATAAAATCCAAAATTTTGAGTGTATCGAAAAAACCGGAATATATGTTAGAGAAGTGGTCTTTGTGCACCTACGTACCAATTTTTAGAAGAATCGGTTCAAAAATGTGGGAGATATTCAAAATTTTATGACGTCACGACAAACAAAAATTTTGAAAAATGACTTTTTTGGAAGTTCTAGACCTCGTACGGAATTGAAAATAGCACCATTCGATTCGCCGTGAAAAACTGCATCAGTTAGACACCTTTTTAGGCCTAAACAACCAACTTCAAAATTTGACCTCACATGACCTGACCTTGACCTGACCTCGACCTGAAATTCATCCAGAGGTGGTCCATATCACTTATTGAGTGTGCCTATTGAATTTTATGAGTGAAATGACCCATAAAACATGTGTCGCACATGCCTATTTCTATATTTTGTTTTTGGTGACCTGACCTGACCTTGACCTTGACCTTTGAATGACATTGTATGCAACGAATATTGTCTTGGTAGTCTAAGAATACGTTTTGGGCAATCAGTCTCAGTCCATTCTTCGGCAACTACGGTGCAAGGCCGATACTGTAGAAACTTGCATTTTGTACCCTTGACCTGACCTTGACCTGACCTCTGACCTACTTAAGCAAAAAAAATTTGGGCTCTTAAGATCCGCCTTGTTGAGAGCTTTCGATTGCCGTTTTCCCCGTCTTTCTACGACCATCGGTTCGGAAGTTAGACAGGGGGGGCAGAATCTGCCCCCCCCCCCCCCCAGCAGGGCGCGTATGGCTGAATAGCCCAGCGGGGCGCGGGTTAAGTATATTAAATATTTTGTCATAATGAATCATATTGCTCTTTGTTCTAGAAGAAGAAAGATGGATCAAGGAAGCATCAGAATGCTACCGAGACACTGGAGCAGTACCAACACCTGAGGCCCCACTTTGCAACAAATTTTACAGATTTCCTGCATGAAGACTGCAAACAGTATGTATGGGGGGGGGGGGGGGAGTGGGAGGAAAACTTCATGTTTATTCCTGGTTTCTTGTCTTGGAGATTTACCATATTTTTATTGTTGTTATTGTCCAGAGTGCAGCATTAGTTACTACCTTCCTGTTGATTGGTTTGTTTGGTGCTGCAGTACTGACAGCAGTGCTGCCTCCCACAGTCTGCTGGGCTCGGAGGAGGCTCCGGCCACTCCCGGCGGCCCGGCACCGGCCGACCCGGCTGCCGGCGAGGGCCGCCCGGCAGCGCGCCGCCGGCTGGCCGTGGACGCCGTGCCGATCCCGGTGCGCCGCCCCGACCACCCGCCCTCCGAGACACGCCAGCAGCCGCCGCGGCACGGCGGCGGCGGCAGGGGCCGGCGCACGGCGCGGCCGGCCACCGAGCCGCGGCCGCCCGCCGGCGCCCGCCGCGTGCCGCTCGCCGACCTGGTGGTGGCCACCGAGCCGCGCGCGCCGCGGCGCGGCCGGCGCAGCCCTGGTGGCCAGCCGGCCGACGCGTCCGCCGACCGGCTGGAGAAGCTGCAGAGTCGGCTGGCGCCGGCGGCGGAGGCGGGCGGCGGCCGGGAGTCGGCCGGCGCCGGGCCGGACGACCCGGCCGCCTTCGTGACGCCCGTGAAGCAGCTGCTGCGCGGCGGCGAGTCGGCCGGCCCGCCGGTGGCGGCGGCCACTCCTGACCGGGTGACGGGCGCCGAGCGGCTCACCGAGCTGGCCGTGCTCTACGCGCACCTGATCGAGCACGCGCTGCTGCTCGGCCTCTCGATCGAGCTCAGCTTCCTGGTGCGTCTGCTGGTGGCGCCCGGTGGCGCCGGCCCGCCGCCGGCCGAGTCCGTGCTGCTCACTTCGCTCCACAACGCCGTCTTCTTCTCGGTGCAGACGCTATGGCGGCTTCGCGGCCTGCTGGTGTGTCTGGACGCGGCCCACCTGCGTCTGCTGGCCACCAACGGGCGGCTGGTGGCCTTCCACCCGCAGCTGGCCGACGCACTGCGGGAGCTGCCGGCGCGCCGGCCGTGCGCCTCGCCGCCGCCGGCCGCCGCCGCCGACGGGGACGGCGAGCGTCCCGACTCGCTGGCCTTCTACGCCGAGCTGGTGTACCGGCCCAACTTTCCGTCCGACGCCAGCTTCCACGCGTTCCGGCGCCAGCACGACCAGCTGCACGCGCTGCTGGAGCGGTGGCGCTCGGCGGCGGCGGCCGGCGCCGGTCACTGGGAGCCGGACGCCGTGCTGGGCGACGAGCCGCGCGCGCTGGTGGCGCTCTGCCGGCACCCGGTCAACATGCACCACCTGGCGCGGCTGTTCCAGGCGCAGCTGCTGCTGCTGGCGGGCGGCGGCGGCGGCGGCGCGCAGGAGCCGGCCGAGCTGCTGCAGCAGACGGACCGCGCGCGCCTGCAGCGACTCAGCGACAGGTGGGAGCGCCGACCACCGACTCGGGGCCGGACCGGCACCGACGGCGGCACACAGCTGTCCGCAGCAGCTGCAGACTATTTCACTGATGCTGTTACGCTCTGACATACCGATTTTTGCACTACCCCACCCCCTACTTTGGACGGAAACCGAATTTGCTGCTACTCAACGTAATTTAAGTCGATCTAATGAGTGCATTGAAAGAGAAGAAACTTAGGTCCCGGGTGCCGAACCAAGCGGTGCTTCTAAAAGACACCACTGGCCCACCACCTGAACCCTGTTTGAAGGCACGACGCTGCCGCGTGTTACGTGTAGCGGTTTCCATAGAAACATCAACAAACTCGGACGCTCGCAACGCTGCAGCGCCGAGGCGAGTTTCTATCAAACGCCGTACCAATGCAGAAGCGTAGTGCAGCGCGCGCTGCAGGGTTGTGCCTTGAAACTGGGTCCGACCATACCAACGCCTGGTCCACCGGTGATAATTTTAATGAAAAGTTAAGCATATCACCAGTAGATAGCGGCACGTTCCTCCCGGGCCCTCCCGTGACCCTCCGACCAGCTGCCAGATGGCTGTATATAGACACCCGGGTCAAACCACGTTGTGGCTTTTCGGCTGCGAACTCGCTGCCACCGATTTTTTAGACGGACGCTTAAACCATTAGGCCATGCGGGAGGTCAAGTTTGGTGTTTGCTGAGCGAGTCCATTTGTTTACGTCTATTTTCGGTGGTCGCGTTTGGTCTCTCTGACTGTGCGTGCCCTGGGCGCGCAGGTTTCTGAAGCCGGTGTGTGTGGGCCGCTCGGGCGGCCGGCGCGACTTCCCCGGCGCCGAGGAGCTGTTCCGACAGCTGCTGGAGCGCGCCGACTCGGCCGAGTTTTCGGCGGCGCTGCGCGACCTGCTGGCCAGCAGCGTCCTGCAGCTGGACGGCCAGACGGTCCACCTGCCCGACTCAGGTGAGTCAGAGTCAGACTCTGAGAGCGGAGTGCGGCTCAGACTCGGACTCAGCCCGCAGTCCAGCCGGGGAACTGGACAATGGGAGTCCATCCGTACACTATTGACTTTAGTGAACGATATTCGCTCTTGGTCTCATGGTAATAAGGCCACTGAAAGACCGTATATCAGTAGGTGGAGCTATGGTCATGAGTACCCAAATATAGGAACGTTCCCATTTTTGGGAACGGAGTTCCCAAATATGGGAACGGGCGTTCCCATTTATGAGAACGGAAGGTAATTTTTCGGCCGTTCGCCCACTAAAACTCATTAGTGCATCACGTCTCAAAAAAGTGCACGCTAATTTAAGTATCTACGAAGTCTCTATAAAATTATCTTTAATCTGACCGTTGAACAAGGAAATTGACCGTCGAATGATATTTTTAATGATTTTTTGAAGTGGCGGAATGGTGAAAACATGGGTTACACTACATTTAACATGCAATTTTAAGGAAAATGAAGCGTTTTTTACATTTTGAGGTCAAGTATAATAATTTTCGCCTGGATATGAAGTTTCATACTAGCGACACCAGATGCTGACATATGCAAGCGAACACGCGGACAGTCCCGAGGTAATATTGTTGACATTTGGTGTCGAGGCGGACGACCGCGTAGAACGTGCGTGATTTTACCGAACTACTGTTGTAAACTCAGTTTAAGTGGTCGAAAATTATTCAGCTGTATTTTATCAGCCCGGAAAGACATATTTTATTTGGATGCTAGCTGTTTAGCGTTGTTTTATAAGGAGCGTCATGAGCGTGGTTTTTGTCTTCCGTGTTTCTAAGCATGATCGTTTTGGGGGAATTTCTCTTATATAGGTCGCTCTGTGTGGCTTATTTATAATTTCTATGCTGATTTCGATCATTCCCCGTGCCCATCCTACCAGGCCTTTTGCCACTTACACTCATTAAGAAAGGAAAAAACTAGATTTTCATTGGGATTAGGTGTTTTGAGGGTGTAACATATTCAGCGTTCCCATTTTTGGATACTTCCTTGTACTCGTCAACTATCGGTGATAAACAGACAGGTGCTTGACATGTCTCCACCCTCGGCACGGACGGTGGATATAGGTATGGAAGACCTTGTTGAACATCGCTGAGCGTTGTGAATTACGTAATCCTGCAGAGGGGGGCGTGCCCGCTGCGAGATCGACGGGAATAAAAGCGCAGAAGACCGGGCAAAACATGCGACGGTCTTGCCGGAAAGGTCATCTGATGATTGTTGCGTCAACAATTATTTGCGGCGTTGGACGTGATGCTTGTTAATGAAAAGAGCCCCTGAAAGGCTTCGGTGAAATCGTTCCCAATTTTGGGTACGCCGTTCCCATAATAAGGAACGCTTGCAGCGCCAGTGTACGAGAGCGTTCCCAAATTTGGGCTCGCGGCCCGGATGATGGACTGCTTTAGAAATAGGGGAACGATTTGAAACTACGATGGGCCTTACAATATCAAACTCTTTCCCAACAATATTGAGACAAATATCAGGCGGTTCACGATCGTTTTATATTTTTTGGACGTCATTTAACGGTTCTTTTTCTTGTTTTAAATAATGCCTACATGGCGTTCCCATATTTGGGTTTATCGTTCCCAAACATGGGAACGAAAATGCGTTCCCGAAAATGGGTACGCTTGACCATAGTTCCGCCTACTGATATGAGAGAAGAGAAACACTGATATATGACACTGATGTCACAGTGGCATATTTAGTATACCATATGCATGAGATGGCGGGGCAAATTTTCACCAACACACCGATTGGCAAATAGACGTGAGCTTGTTATTGATTGCGGGTAACATCGGATACACTTTTCATTAGCCTATAGTCATTTCATTACTTCATTAGTTATAGAAGTTCATTACTTCATAGAAGTAATGAAATGACTGTAGAAATTTCATTACTTCTATAGTCTTCTGTACTTGGAACAGATCATTATTTTTATAGTGTGTCTGGTGTGTGATATACCTTCATAACTTCACCTGTCATTGGGCCAAGCCTGTTGGTGATTTGCGCAAATACAGAAATACAGAAATAGCCCATACTTGTTGCTGCTTCATCGCCTCGCCCGTCCTGCGTGTTCCCGTGACTGGAACGGCCCGGCCCGGTCCCGGCCCGTCTGACGCCCCGGCCCGGCCGGCCGCCAGGCGTCCAGCCGTCCACGGTGCGCGCTGTGTCGGAGCGCATCTTCCGGCTGCGTCTGCTGGCCAAGTTCCTGGGGCTGGTGACGTTCCGCGGCCTGCACGCCGACGGCGAGATCCCCGAGCAGGTGCTCACCAGCAGCATCCAGATGAGAAACCGGGTGAGTCGGCGAGCCGTCTGCCCGTCAGTTACTGCCGGCCGGCGTCTGGGCCGCCAACACCGGCAGCGTCCGTGTCGGTGAACTGTGCTGCCCAGTCTGTGTGTCGGTGAACTGTGCTGCCCAGTCTGTGTGTCGGTGAACTGTGCTGCCCAGTCTGTGTGTCGGTGAACTGTGCTGCCCAGTTTGTGTGTCGGTGAACTGTGCAGCCCAGTGTGTCGGTGTTTCGGTGACCTGTGCGGCCTAGTCTGTCGGTGTGTCGGTGAACTGTGCTGCCCAGTCTGTGTGTCGGTGAACTGTGTCTCCCAGTCTGTGTGTCGGTGAACTGTGCTGCCCCAGTCTGTGTGTCGGTGAACTGTGCTGCCCCAGTCTGTGTGTCGGTGAACTGTGCTGCCCAGTCTGTGTGTCGGTGAACTGTGCTGCCCAGTCTGTGTGTCGGTGACCTGTGCGGCCCAGTCTGTCGGTGTTTCGGTGACCTGTGCGGCCCAGTGTGTCGGTGTTTCGGTGACCTGTGCGGCCCGGTCTGTCGGTGGGTCGGTGACCTGTGCGGCCTAGTCTGTCGGTGGGTCGGTGACCGTCACGTGTGCCCGTGTGCTCGCCAGCTGCCGCCGCCGCTGGACCTGCTCAGCTGTCTGGAGGGAGCCGTGCGCCGGCGACAGCTGGTGATCACGCTGCCCTGGATCATCGAGTACATCTGCATGATGGACCGGGTGTCGGTGCTGACCTCGGCGCACCAGACCGTCTTCAGCCTGCTGGTGGCCATGTTCCGCGCGCTGCGCCGCGCCGCCGCGCTGACGGCGCACAACGCGCTCTTCCTGCGCCTCCAGTACGAGAACCTGTACGAGATCCACTCGCACGTGCAGAACCTGTGCGAGAAGGACCACCTGGCTGCCATGGACCGGCGCCGCATGGAGCAGCTGCTGGCAGAGTTCGGCCGGCTGTACGTGCGCCGCGGCGCGCCGCCCCCGGCCGCGGCCGCCGCCGACAGCTGCGACCTGGTGCGGCCCAGTCTGTTCTACGTGTGCTGCCCGTACCTGGCCGAGCAGAAGGTAGCGCTGCAGCAGTTCCGCGCCGGACGCGCCTACCAGCCGTCGCCGGCGCTGCGCAAAATCATCCCCATCTCGGCGCGGCCGGCAGACGCTAGGACGGCGGCCGCGCGCCGCACTCAGGTACGGACACTCAGGTACGGACGGACCGGCACTCAGGTACGGACGGGGCGGCACTCAGGTACGGACGGGGCGGCACTCAGGTACGGACGGGGCGGCACTCAGGTACGGACGGGGCGGTACTCAGGTACGGACGGGGCGGCACTCAGGTACGGACGGGGCGGCACTCAGGTACGGACGGGGCGGCACTCAGGTACGGACGGGGCGGCACTCAGGTACGGACGGGGCGGTACTCAGGTACGGACGGGGCGGCACTCAGGTACGGACGGGGCGGCACTCAGGTACGGACGGGGCGGCACTCAGGTACGGACGGGGCGGTACTCAGGTACGGACGGGGCGGCACTCAGGTACGGACGGGGCGGCACTCAGGTACGGACGGGGCGGCACTCAGGTACGGACGGGGCGGCACTCAGGTACGGACGGGGCGGCACTCAGGTACGGACGGGGCGGTACTCAGGTACGGACGGGGCGGCACTCAGGTACGGACGGGGCGGCACTCAGGTACGGACGGGGCGGCACTCAGGTACGGACGGGGCGGCACTCGGGTACGGACGGACAGCAGCCTGCAGGCGGGGCTGTGTGGCCGTTGATGATTCAGGTATTGTGCTGGTGGATAGGTTGTGTGGCCGTTGACGGTTCAGTTATTGTGCTGGTGGATAGGTGGGGGTTTGTGTGGCCGTTGACGGTTCAGTTATTGTGCTGGTGGAAAAGGTGGGGATTTGGCGACCTTCCGTGACGTGTGAAGGAGTGGTGACTCAATGCCATAGAACATAGGGGATCTACGGGAGGACTGCGGGTGGGTGTGCTCTTTGTGTCGGCGTGGTATTGGCGAACTGACGAGATCATGCCGTAGATCTAGAGCGGTGTGCAGGACAGATTTGGTCGGTGCGTCAGTTATATTCTGCACTCTGCCTATATTTTATGCGCAGTGTTGTATGCGTTGTCGTCCGCTGGCGGGCGGTGCGCGGTGCTGTGGCCTGTGGCTGGGCGTGTTTCCGACGCTGTGCCGCCGCCGGCAGGCCGAGCTGGAGGAGGCCTTTTTCCAGTCGCACCACCCGTCGCTGCGGCGCGCGGCCGCGTTCACCGTGGAGCGTCTGTCGTCGGCGCTGATAAAGCTGGTGCGCGGCCCGCAGCTGGCGGCCTTGACGGCGCCGCTGGTGACGCCGCTGCGGCAGCAGATGACCGAGCGGCTGCGGCGCGGAGAGCAGGACTTCCAGATCAAGGTGGGACCGCCGGCCGGCTGCTGCCGCCTGTGTAGACGGGGCACTGGGGACTGCCGGGCTGCCGCCTGCATAGGCGGGGCACCGGGGACTGCCGGACTGCCGCCTGTATATACTGGGGGGGGGGGGGGGGGGTGGACTGCTGCTACAGCTTCCTGTATAGACGGGGGGGGTGGATTGCTGCTACTGCCTGTATAGACGGGGCACTGGCGACTATCGCTACTGCCGGGGACGGACGGGCGGCGATGGAGACGGACGGAGGATAGCTGACTGGGCAGGGACGGGGGCGGGCGGCACTCACGGGGGACGGACGGGCGGCACTCACTGGGGACAGGGACGGGCGGCACTCACTGGGGACGGACGGGCGGGCGGCACTCCCTGGAGATGGACGGACGGGCGGCACTCACTGGGTAGTGGATACGGACGGGCGGCACTCACTGGGTAGTGGGGACGGACGGGCGGCACTCACTGGGGACGGACTGGGTTGTGGATACGGACGGGCGGCACTGGGGTGCATGGGACAGGACGCCAATGCTCGGGTTAGTGGGGTGGGTAGCAGCGTCGTCGCTCAGACAATGGCAGGAAAGAGAAACACTGAAGATCAGATGATGTGTTAAATGCTTTCAGATGTGTTGATCAAACAATTGACTTACAGGGAGGACGGGGCGCATCGTTTGTGTTTTGCACTGGTAACTGTGGCCCGGCTGACAGTTGTCGTTTGTCCGTTGTTGTTGGGGGGGGGGGGGGGGGACTGTGAGCGGCCGTCGACACCATCTGCTTTCCGTCTGGTGTCCTCCAGGCTGCCCTCAGGAGCCTCCGCCCTCCCAGTACTTATCCCGTCTCGGCTACCGGGGGCTGGCTGCCGTCCCCCCGCTCTCCCGTCCCCTGGCTGAGTCCCGTCTGCCGCCCCGCCCTGCCCCCTGGCTGAGTCCCGTCTGCCGCCCTGCCCTGTCGCCTGGCTGAGCCCCGTCTGCCGCCCTGCCCTGTCGGCTGTCCCCCGCCCTGCCCTGTCGGCTGTCCCCCGCCCTGCCCTGTCGGCTGTCCCCCGCCCTGCCCTGTCGGCTGTCCCCCGCCCTGCCCGGTCCCCTGGCTGAGTCCCGTCTGCCGCCCTGCCCTGTCGGCTGTCCCCCGCCCTGCCCGGTCCGCTGGCTGAGTCCCGTCCCCCGCCCTGTGCCGCCGCGTCTCACCGGGCGCCGCCGCCGCCAGGGCTGGCTGCCGGCGCGGCTGTCGGCGCTGGTGCTGGCGCAGCACGCGGCGCTGGTGCGGCAGCTGGCGGCCGGCTGCCGGCGCCGGGCCGGCGCGCTGGTGACCGACGCGCTCGGCGCCCTGCTGGTGGGAGAGGAGCTGACTGAGGGGGCGCGACGCACCGTGCACCGGCTGACCGAGGCCGGCGTGCTGAGCCGCGTCAACTGCTGGATCAACACCAACCTGACCCGCGGTCAGTGGCCAGCCGCCGGGCGGCCGAGCGCCGGCCGCGCCGCACTGTGCGCCGCCGCCGCTCCGGCGCAGCCAGTGTTGTCTCATGCATGAATGCCAATAACATAGAGCAATATAATAAATATAACAATGTAGCAAGTCATAGCATGTAATAACTAACCAGACTTGGAGCAAAAACAGTGGTGCCATGCGACATGCACCCTTGTTCGATATTTCGCTTGTCGATGATTTATTGATGCTGGGAAATATAAATACTTCTAGCAGCTTAGCACTTACTTCAGGATACTTGGTAGCACCAACCTATTATTCAGTATTCATGGCCTTTGCTACCGGGGTTGGCCGGCCGGCTGACTCGGTGTTGCGCCGCGCCGCTATCACCGGGCGCTGACCGCCGCCCGCCGCCCGCCGCTCCGGCAGACTTTGTGCAGCACGTGCTGGAGGAGCAGTGCCGCGCCGAGCTGCGCCGGCTGCGACGCGCCGACGCCGCCGCCGACGCGCCGGCGCCGCTGTCGGACCTGCCCGACCGGCCGGCCGACGTCCGCTCCCCGTCCGTCTGCCTGATGGACGTCAAGGTCAGACTGGGGGCGGCCCGTCCCGCCGGGCCGCGCAACAGCAGAGTCTGCTCACGTCTGGCTAGTTTCCCAGCGCGCCCTCGCCCGCTACCAATATTTTGCTCAACATTCATTTCCAGACCGTGTTTCGAAGGTGTGAATCACATCCTCTCTTCTCGCTGTGTAGATCTGGGACCATCTGCCCCAACCCTTTCGCCGTGTAGCTCCACCACGCGATGTGGTAATACCTCCCGCCTTGTAGCTCCAGGACGCGGTGTTGTAACCCCTCCCGCCGTGTAGCTCCAGGACGCGGTGTTGTAACCCCTCCCGCCGTTTAGCTCCAGGACGCGGTGTTGTAACCCCTCCCGCCTTGTAGCTCCAGGACGCGGTGTTGTAACCCCTCCCGCCGTGTAGCTACAGGACGCGGTGTTGTAACTGCTCTGCGCCGCCAGGACGCGGTGTGCGGCGCGCTGTCGGGCGCCCGGCTGCCGTCGCCGGCCGGCCTCGAGTCGCTGCTGGGCCGCGTGAGCGCCGTGTACGGCCAGTGGAGCCGGCTGCTGCCCGCCACCGGCCGCTGTCTGCAGCAGCTCAGCACCCAGCTGGTCGTCACGCTCGGTGAGCACGCCCGGCGGGGAGGGGGAGGGGGATTGGGGACCCTCCGCGCGCCGCCCGTGCCCGAGTCAGCGCCGCCGGACCGCTCCAGGCCACTGGACTACCGCTCTAAACGTGCCCGGGTGTCTGGACATTGTTAAATGAATTACGCTCAGCTGAGCTTTTTTTCTGTCCTCCAACATCCGTCTTTTTATGTTCTTGAGCTCCACATCCGTAGTGTTCGTAGTCAGTGTCTCGTCACGTAATGTTCACTGTACTGTACTGGGTTTGTCCGCGACGTGTGCCGACTCCTCGTCAGCGTCTGTATCTGCCTGCAGCGTGCAGCCGGCCGGAGCTGCTGGCGACGCCGGCGGCCCAGCGCGCTGTGCTGGCCTGCTGGGCCGCGCTGGGGCTGGAGCCGGCCGCCCAGCTGCTGGCCGAACCGGTGCGCCGGCAGGTAGCCGCCGCCCGGCAGCCGGCCGCCGCCGACGACTGTCTGCGGACGCTGCTGGCCGCGGCCGACGGCCAGCCGCCGCAGCCGACTCCGCTGGGCGCAGCGGCCGGCGGCCAGCCGCAGCAGCCGTCACGGAGATCGGCCGGCCAGCCGGAGCAGCCGTCACGGAGGTCGGCCGGGCAGCCGCGGAGAAAGGTCAGAGGGCGCGGCGGGGGTGGCCTGGGGCCCAATTAAGACGTAACCCACGAATAGATATATCAAAAGACCGCCACACATGCCTTCATAAAGTGCTTATTCACGCCACGCTGTATGTTTAATGATTCGGTTGTCAAAGCACCGCTTTCAGATACAGCCGAGTGCCCCCGCCCGTCTCCCCTGCCGTGTATGAGATCCGGGTGGCCCCTCCTGTTTGCCCTGCTGTGCGGACGGCGGCTGTTGGTTGACGTCTGCCCGTGTCCGCGCGCAGGTGGCGGTCCCGCCGGGCGGCGGCTGCTCGGCGGCGGAGGAGACCGCTGTTGGCCGCACGCGTCCTGAGAGCGCGCCGCCAGAGCAGCAGCGGGCCACCGCCGCTGCCGGTGGCGCCGAGCAACATACGACACTGGAGGATCTCCGTCTGGAGGACACGACACTGGAGGATCTCCGTCTGGAGGACACGACACTGGAGGATCTCCGTCTGGAGGATACGACACTGGAGGATCTCCGTCTGGAGGCCGCGCGCTCGGAGGATCTCGGTGCCGCCCACCCGGTGGCCGAGGACGGCGGTGCGGCCGGAGCTGCTCTGGGCCGGCGGCTGGAGTCGGCCGCGCCCTGCTGGCGGCGGCGGCCCCCGCTCGTTCAGCTCAGCTGACCGCCGCCACCGGTCTCGGCCTCAGCTCGGCCGTGGCGGCACTCCTCAGCTCGGCTGTGGCGGCACTCCTCAGCTCGGCTGTGGCGGCACTCCTCAGCTCGGCTGTGGCGGCACTCCTCAGCTCGGCTGTGGCGGCACTCCTCAGCTCGGCCGTGGCGGCACTCCTCAGCTCGGCTGTGGCGGCACTCCTCAGCTCGGCTGTGGCGGCACTCCTCAGCTCGGCTCTGGGCCAAGTGCCTTCTTATCTCGTGGACTGTTCGCCGTGTTTATGAAGAGATGGTGACCATTTTTAATTCCGATGGTTTTACGTGTGGCGCGTGTATTACGGGCTGAGTTCCGTGCGTCAGGTGCTCGACCATAATGTGTACTCTGTGGTATACGCAGTGTTTGCGGCGGCCGGCCGTGGCGGGCTGTGCCGGTCGGACTCGGCGCCGGGCTGTGAGGCGGCCCGTGAGACCGGCCGCCGCTGTGAGCACTGCAGGGCGGCCAGCCGGCCGGCAGCGCAGTCGTCTGACGGATCCCTGTTTTACTAGCCGACCTGTGCCCGTCCTACCGTGGCATATAATGGTGTTCCAGCCGAGTGACAATGTCAACAATGGTGTTCGCCGTTGCCTCTCTGAACACTCCTACAAACGAACGCAATATAGCGGTACCGGAGTACAAACTGGTGCGAGATGAATTCCTCTAAAAGGCACCGAACGCACTAGTGGCGACTCTTCAGATGACCTCGGCTCACTTTTTTCGAGTTTTACATGTTTCTTCTTTCTAGGCTAGTTGTTTTAGCTGAATTCGAATTAGCGGTCATTTTAACTTGTACGAAGCAGTTTTGGTACCATCACATGTTAGGATTTAGGAAGCTGTCAAAGACGGTTGACGAATATGACCGGCAGGGCCCCTACTGGTTGACCTGACCTGACCTACCCGTCCTGGCCTAAATGCATTAAGACGTCATCTGGGATCAAAACTAACGTGATATTCGTGATCAGCATCCCGAAAACCATAGCAGTCACACCTAACGACGTTCTAACAGGTCCCGCTTTTCCCGACTTTTGGGTCATTGACCTGACCCAAAAGTCCTGACCTGATTGGTCAGGACGGCACGCCCCTTTTTCCGCGAATCTCTAGCTCGATCAGGAGCCAACCGGCAAGGGGGGGGCAACGGACCCCACCCCCAGCCCTCCCCCTATACGAGTACAATCATATACATACGTTCGCGGCTGGCAAAACACCGATACGGGCGAGGGTTAAAGGCGAAAAGTTAAAGAAGGAAAAGGTGACAGTTCAATGGAAGAGGTAAGAAAATAATAGTCAAATCACAGTCATTATGTCAAAAACCTCAAACTTAAGAGTGAAACCGACGATCTTAGATGAGCAGTGGGGGATCCAGGGGAGGGGGGAGCCGTGGCCCCCTCCATTTGGGCCTCCCGGGGGCACCATCACGGAGTTTTTTTATTCATCACCGAGGGGTGGTTCAACCCAGAAGTCTCCTAAGGGGGCACCATTTAGGTCTATCGGAATAGGTTACCGTTTTCGGTATCCCCCGGACTACGGAGGCCCATTTCTGTCCCTCTCCTCGGGTGGGGCTATTTCCATCCCGAGGTCCGTAGGGGCACCATCTCGAGTTCTCCGGGGACACTATCCCGAGTTGGAGTACCATCCCGAGGTCTGAGGGCAGAGGGGGCACCATCCCGAAGTCTATCTCCGGGGGCACCATTCCGAGGTCTCCGGGGGCACCATTCCGAAATCCGAGGTCTGAAGGAGCACTCTCCCTGGGTCTGAGGGGGCCCCATCCCGAAAAGTAAGTGGTCGAAATCCGTTGATTTTTTTTTGGGGGGGGGGGGGGACACCACAATACGGCATGACGAAATCCTGGATCCGCCACTGTAGACCAGTGAAGTTAGGAAAGATCAATGTTTGTCCCCCAATGAAGTCTTGCTCAGTCATCGCACTTCTATGCGCTCCATTGAAACCCGTCACATCACAGGACATTTTTATGGTTCGTCATGACCCTCGCATTATATGAGCGCTTGGAGCTCAGCCAGGTATTCGGGCGAGCTGGCCGTAAATGGGCGGCTCAGGTTAGACAAGAGCTGACGGCGGCCGCAGGTCCGGCCATCCCCGGCTCCTGTACGGACACGGCCCTCAGGGTGTTCTATGATTGGCTGTCAACAGCACCATAATCGATGTGTTAATTTGTACGTCAGTAGGCTGTCAAAAGGCACGGAACCTCTTTTAGTCATTTTCGTGGAGTGTCTGTCATTTAAAGTCATTGCTCCAGACCAAAAGCACATCGGCTGATCAACCATGATTCAGCTGGAGGGCCGTGCGCGTGCCGCTGTGAAGGGACCGGACACTAGCGTCGCCGGGTGGCACACGTGGGCGGCAGAACTTCAAAGGCATTCAGCAAACGCCGCGCCGCAACGCTGGGTTAGATACAACAGGGGTGAGTAGGCTTAATGCTATTCTAGTTTTGCGTAACTTCCGGCCTACACATTTGCTGTTACATTTTGATGCCTTTTTTAGTAACTGCTTTTTGAGCGAGCCTCCAAGTGATGACGGTCACCTTCGCACGAGGCGTGTCGGCGGGACTGGCCACCCGAGTGCCCTGGAACTCCCCAGGGGCCAGGGGCGCCCAAGTCGGGCCGGTCCGGCGCCACCGACACCCCCCCCCCCCCCCGGCGGGCGACAGGCGCGCAACGCGACCGAACACGTTCAACAGGACGACGCATACCAACGCAACATGGCATCTTTATTCATGAAAAGCGATGAATCACCCTAATTACATGACCTGAAATTGTCAGCATCCGATGAATGAGAAAACACTGGAAAGTGAACTCGACGTGGGCGACAGTCTCGGCCGCTGAGACGCGAACCGCTCCGGCCCCGCCCGCAAACAGCCACGGTCCCGAGACGCCGCCGGGCTCGCGGAACAATCTGAACTATGTAAGGTATGAAACAGCGCCGAGCTCCGCCCGGCAGCCACGGCTCAGATGCGGCGCTGGCCGTCTCCCGAAGCCGTCTCGCCTCTGGGACACCGAGCGAGCTGGCCGTCACTGTGCTCGGCCCGGCCGGCCGTGTCAGCGCCAGGCGCGCCGCACTGCCGCCCTGTCGTCGGTGTCGTAGGCGTCCGGCGGCCGTCCGCCGGCGCCCATCATGGCTCGCTCGATGCGGCTCCAGACGCCCGGGTCGGACAGCTCGGCGTCACTGTCGGACGTGTCCGGCCAGCCCCGCGCCGCCGCCGCCGCTGCCTCCGCCGCCACCGCCGCCTCGATGGCGCGCCGCTTGCCGCGCACCGGTGACGCCGCGGCCGGCGCGCGGCGCCGCTTCTTGGGCCGGCCGTGGCGCGGCGCCGGCGGCTGTTCGCCGTCCGAGTCGGAGTCCGCGCCGGACGGCGGCCGCTCCCGGTCCGCGCCGATCACGCCGTCGATGGTGGCCAGCTGGCGTCGGCAGTCGGCGCACCGCCGCCGGCTCTCCTGGCCCTTCTGTACCATCTCGCGGTACACGCTAGTCAGCTCCGGAGATTGCATGCACCGCTTCCGAATGGTCTGCGTGCCCGGCAGCGGGATTTTCATCTTTTCGCGGACGTGCTCGACCACGCGGTCGGATCCGGCCACTGCGCGCAGCTCCAGCGCGCGGCGCAGGTCCTCCTCGCCCCAGTGCGGCTTGAACTTGCGCTTCTGTTTGTCCGATCCGCCGTGCTCGTGGACGATGGCGCGCAGCTGTGCCTCCGTGAACATGGCCTTGACGGCCGTCTCCAGGCGGAGCAGCTGTCGCAGGCGCGCTCCGCCCACCGTGCGCCGGCGGCGGCGGCTCTCCGAGTCCCTCTGGGCGGCCGCGGCGGCGTCCCTGGCCTTTTTGTTCTGGATGGCCCAGCGCAGCATGGTGGCCTGCAGCTGGAGGTACTGCACCTTCAGCCGGTGGTTGGCCTCCTGCGCCGCCTCCAGACTGGTCGGCGTGAAGCTGGCCAGGCTGTCGGGCAGCTCGTTGCGGTGCAGCAGCTGCGTCACGAACAAGGGCAGCTTTTTGGCGGCGGCGGCCGAGGTATCCCGCAGCACCACCAGTGGCTGGTCGGCGGCGGCGGCGGCGGGCGGCCCGCCACCCGGCCGAGGCGCGCCCGGCTGGCCGGCGGCGGCGGCGGCGGGCGGCGCGCCACCCGGCCGGGGCGCGCCCGGCACCGCCAGTACGCGGATGCACCTGGACTCGAGTTTGCGCAGCCGGACGTTCAGCCGGACGATTTCCTTGGTGCGCTGCAGCGAGCGGCTCACTGGCAACACACACAGACGGGAGGGGCGCTACAGACGGACCGCCACAAATACTAAGGGCAAAAATACACAACACCCAAACACAATGTCCAGCTTGTTACAGAGATGGTTTTCAAAAAGTCTGAATAAAGGACAACGCAGCGACTGTGTATTAATGTAACGTAAACGATATGTAACAATTCTGATCTCTGTATCATGGTCACTGTGACATTACAAATCAATGTGTACTGTTTACGCACTGTTGCATTACAATGTGCACTGTTTACGAATGTATTGAAAATCCTACACGAACTAGCACAGACGAAGCTCAGATACTAGAGGAGTGAAGTTCGTGAACGGAACGGAATGTGAGCCATCCATGTGAGCGGAAGCACCCGGTGCTCGACTGCGCGTCTGCCGTACCTGCGGCCGTCAACGCCGGCGCCGGGCGGGACGCGTTGACAATCGGCCGGCGCGCCGGGCGGTACGCGTTGACAATCGGCCCGCCAGCGTCATCAGAGTCGGCGCCGTCCGAGGCCGCGCCGTCACCGCCGTCCCACTCGTCCGGCGCGTCATCAACGGAGGCGGGGTCGTCACCGCCGGCGACCTTGGGCGGCCGCCGGATGGCCGATCCGCGCTGCTCCAACTCGATGACCTGGACGGGCGGCCTGCAGGGTGGCGGCCGCGTCAGACACATACCGGGGACCGGGGGCCGTGTCAGACACAGATCCGGGGGACGTGTCAGACACAGACCGGGGACCGGGGGCCGTGTCAGACACCGACCGGGGGACGTGTCAGACACCGACCAGGGACCGGGGGACGTGTCAGACACAGACCGGGGACCAGGGGATGAGCCAGGGACCGGGGGACCGTGTCAGACACAGACCAGGGACCGTGTCAGACACAGACCAGGGACAGGGGGACCAGGGGACGTGTCAGACATAGACCAGGGACCGTGTCAGACACAGACCAGGGACAGGGGGACCAGGGGACGTGTCAGACACAGACCGGGGACCGGGGACGTGTCAGACACAGACCAGGGACCAGGGGACGTGTCAGACACAGACCGGGGACCGGGGACGTGTCAGACACAGACCAGGGACAGGGGGACATGTCAGACACCGACCGGGGACAGGGGGACGTGTCAGGGACCCGGGGACGTGTCAGGGACAGGGGACGTGTCAGACACAGACCGGGGACAGGGGGACGTGTCAGACACAGACCGGGGACCAGGGGCCGTGTTAGACACAGACCAGGGACCGTGTAAGACACAGACCGGGGACAGGGGGACGTGTCAGACACAGACCGGGGACAGGGGACGCGTCAGACACCGACCGGGGACAGGGGGACGTGTCAGGGACCCGGGGACGTGTCAGGGACAGGGGACGTGTCAGACACAGACCAGGGACAGGGGACGCGTCAGACACAGACCGGGGACCGGGGGACGTGCCAGACACAGACCGGGGACCGGGGGACGTGTCAGGGACAGGGGACGTGTCAGACACCGACCGGGCCGAAACAGACCACCCCAGGCACCTGGCACAGCCACATAATCACTAAAATTAAATACAGGACACGCGGGTAAGCTAGAGAGCCACCAGCATGCATAGCACACACCTACAATTGAAAAACAAAATGTCAACGAATTGTGTTTGCCAATTTTCAAACAGCCTGTGATTACAAACACCGATAGCAGCCACCAGCAAGGAGGCTCTGTCAGAGAGACTGGCTCTGAGACCGGTCACAACAGCGCGCCAACCGGGCTGGAGTCCCGGGATCCACCTGGAGCCGGCACCAGCGGCGAGCGCGGTGGCTCGGCGGCCGATGCGACTGACTGAGGGCTCACCTGGCGCGCTGCTTCTCCTCGTGTTCGGACAGCAGCTTCTCCACCAGCTCCCGGCGCTCCTTGCGCTCCTGCCGCTTCTGCCGCTCCTCACGGCTCTTCTTCCTCCTGGTCGGCGGCGGCGGGACGGTCACTGGTCACTTTAGGGAAGGCGGGAGGGGATGGCCCGAGTATGCGGGATATTTTCCGGAAGAGCCAGACACAGGACACTAGCACACTTAACGATGCCAGCGGTATAATATATTTTCAATACCGAGGTTCTTACTCTTTTTTTTTAGTGAGTCCGAACGCAGAGTTCAAAAATCGGTGCGGACAGAGAGCTATAGAATTTAGCACCGGCAGAGTTTCGTATGCATTTCACTGTGTGCCAACGCTAAGCCGATTTTACAGACCGAGACACTTTCTCTTTGCCGATTGTGGAACGAGGCCGGCAAAAAATATTCACTGAGTGGAAGCTGACTGAACATTTTTTTTTTTTGAACATGGTCAATTCATTTACATCAGATTGCACCAAAGCCTTCCTTGTAATGCATTAGAATAGCCAAGGCATACAGTAATCTAGTAGATCAGTGCACGGGCCACCACTGGGACGGAGCCCGGGCCGCTGTACTAGAAGAGAGTACGGGCCACCGTTCATTAGATCACTGACGTCACACGCCGTTCCACCCACCGCCTCTGGATGGAGTCATCCGAGTCGCCATCTGCTGCTGCTGCTGCCGCGGTGCCGTCGGCTCCGGACTGTCCGCCGCTGGGGACAGACGGGCACGGACTGGTGAGTGGCCGCCTCGCTCCGTCTCTGGCCGGGGGCCCCGGGAGCACCTGCAGGCCGGCGCGCCGCGGCCCGCTCCAGGGGCTGGCCAGGCAGCGCGGCGCACCACCGTCACACCAGCACTCGGTCTCACTGTGCTCCGACACACACACACACACACACATACACACACACCTGTAGCAAACACATGGGCTCCGACAGGTACCAGCCAGCTCCCAGAACGATTCACGGAGAAACACGAACTGTAATGTGCTAGCATGGCGCTACCTGAGCTGGTCCAGCAAGTCTTCTCAACTCTGTTTAGCACGCGTAAAAACAGCCTTTGAAAACGAGCAGCTCATATATCATGCAGTGCAAAGGAACAACAGCATTGTAATTTCAAAAGGCATCCAGGCGAACGATACGCAGAAAAAAAAAACACACGACTGTGTGCTTCCATCAGTGTAGCGTGGTCCGGGCCTTGTCATTTGGTCTGATAGCGGGTGTCAATTCTCATTTTATCCCACAGCTTATTGGAATCGATCTTACGTGCGTGCCTCCACTGAAAAGTTACAATGATCAATAAAGAGTGACATTAAGTGAGCGCCAAGGCAGGCACATAATATAATCTTTAACATGTAAACAGTACACCGTTAGAATGACAATTTATGGATATTTGATATTACACAAACGGAAGTCGGCTGTGACGCTCCGTTTGTCTACAGGAGGTGCTCCAAGTGCATTCCCTTCTCCGGGTGGCCAGCTCGGCCATGACCTTCGCTCCGTGCACCTTTTTGCATGAAATCGGTTTTTGTGAATTCGTCGGTGACCAGGAGACCGTAAACTTCCTGTGGGGTGCTTGCTTAGCAGAAATCATTTCTCGTCACTCCAGATCACCCATCCGATCCATTTTCCGCCCGACTGAGCCAGGGCGTGCACGCGCTCAGCCTCGACACCATGTTGTCAGCGGAGAGGGCGGTCGTTATGATCGGAAGGTAGGTTTAAGTTTTATTTTATTACACGCCTGCCACGGGGGGGGGGGGGAGGGTAACTTAATGTCATTCTTTATTGATCACCCTGCATCAGAAAAGTGGACGTCGTTGCATCTTGAAATATATGAAGATAAATACTCACTCATGACTGGCCAACCTGGCTCTCTCATGGATGCTTTGTGTCCGCACAGATTAAACATCAGTCCTTAAGTGGTTTGAATCTCCGGGATCAATTGAGGTAGAGAACTAGTGTGCAGCACTGGAGCGGACGCCGCCGGCACTAGATAGCCGCGTTACGATAGTTCCCTACACTTCTGACTACGTCGAGAGGACGCATACCGACGGCCGCACCCGGCTCAAAGCAGTTGGCGTGCGGGGTTAAGAGTCAAGACGTATCTTTCCCTCCCCCCCCCCCCCAACGCCAGCCACCTAACGTCGCGACTTCTATTACCGAACTCAAATCCACCGAATAACTCACTGGCATCAGCGGAACAATACTGACACGTGATACACCTGGTTGACCGTTCTTGTTTGTTTATTGGGGCTTCAGGGAGCGTAGACTACAAGTTGATTTTACGCCGATACATGTTTTAACGTTCACTGCACAATGACGATCGTGCAATTAGTCTCGACATAAATATCACTAGCCAGGTGGTAGTAGGTTGACGGTTCAATGCTAATTCAACGGTAGTTCAGTGGCAGTTAATTGTATGGAAAACTCACCTCTCGTGTGCAAAGTCCGGCAATGCAAGTGTTGGGACAGCAGCCACAGAAAGAGTCTTATGGGGATTTTCGGCACGGGGCCTCCCGCCACTGAGCAGCTCCCATTTCATACAGCGTTCAAAGTCGCCTTCCGAAAAATGCAGACTACATACTCGAAAGTCTTTGACATCAGCGAGCCGGCCGTGCCTGCGGATGTGGTGCCACCAGGCGGCCGCCTGGCGCGGAGTGTAGGGCGTGTGCAGCTTCACCCCGGCAACCCTGCGGCTCGTCTTTCCAGTGCCATGTCGGCACTCGGGCACCGCACAGCCAGGCATCACATCTGATGACGGCAACCCGGAGCTGCTCTACAAGTATCGCTTACAACAGATAATCAAACTGAAAAGAATAGCGAGGCCACTGTTATTGCTTCAACAAGTTCCCTCGTCAGAAAAATCCCAACTAGAACCTCATAAACACCTGCCACGAGACCAGAGTTCACCTTCAGGTACAAGTAGGGGAGAGTGCCCCGGGTGCGAAAGACGCCCCGGGCACCCCTCTAATGGCTTAACAAAAAATCAAAGCTGGAAATGTATGTTCTTAGCCTAAAGCGGAAACCTTCCCTGTTTACTGCACAAAAAAATTGACAAGCTCTGTTGGGCAGCTGGTGGTTGCTTGTTTTATATGTAGGTACTGCTTTTAAAAAAAATATTTTAGTGTCAAAACACTGTGAATGTCAAAGAAAATATGTAATTGTTAGATCCCTTGCTGTTCTCGTGATACATTTATATGTGTGTACTTTGTCCCAACTAGTTTGTTTCAGGGTGCAGTTATGGAGCGAGCGAAGCGAGCGTAGTCTTTCCTTAAATTAACGGAAATTTCTGGACAGTGCCCGGAAATTGTGGCACTGTTGATTCAAATGTCTGTGGTGCCCCTGATTAACTTGTTGTGCCCCCGACAGGCCCGTGGTGCCCCTGACAGGCCCAAGGTGCTCCTGACAGGCCCAAGGTGCTCCTGACAGGCCCAAGGTGCCCCTGCGAGGTCGGTGGGGCCCCTGGCAGGTCTGTGGTGCCCCTGGCAGACCTGTGGTGTTCTTGCTAGGTCGATGGTGCTCCCAACAGGCATGTGGTGCCCCTGATAGGCCGGTGGTGCCCCTGGCAGGCCTGTGGTGTACCCGGGCCCAAAGGGCGCGGAGGGTCATGACCCATATGACCCACCCTTGGATCCACCACTGGTCATTACTTGCAGACTGACTCATTTGACATCCATTGCAAAACAAGTCACAGTAGTATGTTTGTCACCTTGTTCCTTTATGCCCATTTCATAGTGGGTAAATCTCGACGACTGGGGGGGGGGGGCAATTCTGTTGAGTGCGGGGGCATTTGCCCCCTCCCCCAGTTAACATGTTAAAATAGGCCCTGTCACCTACAGCAATTAACAAAGTGTGTGCCCGTTAGTGCGCCACATCATAGCATTCCCTAATCATTTCTGAGCCACACCATGAGAGAGTTAAGGCGCTAGCACAGGGCAGATCGGTGCTATTGAAGTTTTAGTCCGGCGCGGTCGGGTGTCGCGGTCGGGGCGGATTACTTTCACCGCGGATTGCAATTTCGACAGACGTTTAACTTTGATCTGCTCTAAGTAGGTCAAATATTGACCTCAAGTCAAAAGTAATATGCTCAAACGCAAGATCTTGTCAAGAGCAATCCGTTGGTTTTTGTTGCGAGGCGCTACGACACTTCGTTTAGGAACAGCAGAGGGATGCACCGACGAACCCCCGCTGTGGCCGACCCCCCCCCCCCCCGCCCGCGGCGCGGCCGCCCACCGCGCCGCGGCACCCGAACGAACGAAAACTTTAGTTAAGTAGCGCCGGTCAGCCCTGCGCTAGCGCCTTCATTCTTTCACAGTGCGGCTCAGAAATGATTAGGGAATCTATGGTATGGTGCACTAACGGGCACACGCTGGGTAAACTGCTGTAGGTAAAACGAAAGCAAATATTAAAAATTGCCATGTGTAATTATTGCCATTTGTATGAAATGAACGCACGCTAGCGGCGTTAGAACTTGCGAGTATCTTCACAGTCATTTTACGACATAGAAAATATCACGACTGCTGACATTCATACACCTGGCCGGTTTCGACAAAAACATGAAAATCATGTTTTTTTCAGACACCCCAAACATTTGCCTGACTTGCCATATTACGATTTTTTGATTAGGTGGACTGGGAATTTGGGCCTTTTCGGTATTTATGGCCACTTGTGAACCCCATTTGCATCACTGTGAGAGGGGGCGGGGCATGTGCGGAGCCAGGCGGCTGACGTCATCGCATGTGTGACTTCACACTCTGCAAAATATTTTGCGCGGACCCGAACACGGCTCTAATCGGTCGCTGTTTTTATATCATCGTGCTGTCGGTTTTCCCCATATAAGGATGTTATTGCTGGCGCTTCTTGGCCTCTCATTGGTCAAATGAATAGACCACTTGAATTCGACCAATGAGGGGCCAAGAAGTAGCAGCATGCTGATAAATAAACGGGGGGGGGGGGGGGTGAACAAAACACAGGCCTTGTTCGGTCACAGTTTCTTTTTTATCAGCAGACTGCGAGCATGCTGCTATTTCTTTCATCTTTGCTCCTCATTGGTGAAATTCATGTGGTCTTATTCATTTGACCAATGATGGGCAAAGAAGCGCCAGCAATAACTTCCGTATGTGGGAAAAACCCACAGCATGCTGATAAAAATGGTGACCAAACAGAGCTCAGGAGGTTTAACTGTTTTTCTCTCTCTCTTGCATTTGTGCCACATGTAACTATCAAATCTGGATTTAGGATGCCAAATAGTGTAAAAATGTGCACAGCTTTAGCCTGAAAAGTGAATCAGACACTTTCTGAACATTCACCATTCCCTTTAAGAGGTGGCCATTTGGGGGAGTAATCTTGATTTGGGGGAGGTGCCTTCCCGGCTTGCTGCCAGGCTTGCCACTGAATTACCAAAACATGAATACGAATTAAAAAATAATAGCTAGCCGTCTTCTAATTTAAAAACTGCAACAAGTACAAATAATATTATTGAAAATACCACAAATTGTGTTGCGATCCCCAAAATAAGCACCCTCAGTCCGCCTCCCCAGAATGGCCAGCCCTTAAGCCAACTAATGCTCACCCTTTTATCTATGGTGACTAAAATTTACCTGTTTGGAAGATTCATCGATGGAATTGCACCATCTTTTAGGTACATATTACACTTGATTCCCAAAGAACGCTTCAAAACAGATGAGGGATCTAAATCATCCTCTTTGAAGTGCTTAGAGCAGATTCGTGCTGTTTCAAAGTTAAATGGATCAAGTTTGCAACAAAGACGTTCCCAATGTGCCCTTCTTCTGGCACATCTCGGGAAGGAAAAAAAAGAAATTGAATTTCCATGGAATCTCTCATTCTGATTCTTGCTTGAGCTGGATTGACAAGTATTAACAACACAATATGGCATATTTCTCACAAAAGGTAAAATTGAAATGAATCATGAAACAAATATGCAAAACCCTCCTGCTCACCACTGTGGGCTTGATATAATTGTTATATTTTCCGACTCTTACAGATATTTTCAAGGCACGACAGGGGCAGGGGGTACGCTCCGGCTGTTTAGCATTACGAAAAATGGTGACAGACGTTTGTGGAGGATTGTCGACGAGCTATTGTTCCGCGAGCAGTACTTACACGCTAGTGGAAAATTCACCAATCAGCGCTCGGTAGTACTCGACGCTGATTGGTCCGACGCTCGTGACGAAATTGTGGGGGACCGCGGTTATTCTCTATGGAACGGTCATCAAGTTAGATGTAAGTGAATCCTAATCTATAAATCTAAGATTCGGAACCAGGTGAGCCCCTACGATTTGGACCTAACTTGGTCAGTGGATAGTACGTAACGTCCTGATTACGATGCACCCAAAATCTAAGCTCGGTCCGCCATATTTACGAAGTTACGGATGCTTGAATTTCAAAGTCATTCGGGAGAGCCCCTACGATTTCCGTCAAAATTTGTGTACGGACACTCTAGATGCTCCTCATTACGAATATCACAAAATTTAAGCTCGGCCCGCCATATTTACGAAGTTACGGAGGTTTGAATTTCAAGGTCATTTGGGTGAGCCCCTGCGATTTCCGTCAAAATTGGTATATGGACATATTACATCCTCCTCATTACAAATATCATAAAAGTTTAGCTCGGCCCGCCAAATATTCAAGTTACGGAGTCACAAAGTTACGGAATTTCAAGGTCATTCGGAGAGCCCCCCCCCCCGATTTTCGTCAAAATTTGTATGCGGACACATTAGGGGAAAGTGGGTGTATTGCGCCCTCCTAACCAATTGCGCCCACCAACATTCCCACGGATTCAATGGCATGTTTAGAATTTTGTGTTCGAAAACATTATTCTCACCACTGGATTGTTCATTTTATGGCCCAAACACTCCGATGAAGCCAATCAGCAAGGCTCATTACGCCATCAAAGATGTTATGGCGTTTTCTTAACTTTTTTGCAGTATTTTGAACCGTTGGCTATAAAAATTTACGATATTTGTGTGATTTTCAGAGTGATATTTAGAAAGAAAAATCCCTTTTTCATTGTATATCACTAAAACCGTAAACTTCCTGCAACATCTTTATGATAACTTCTATGCTTTTATCAAAAAGTACCTCAATTTTAATTGCGCCCATGGCAATTGCGCCAGGGGGGCGCAAATAGAATAATGGTGTAGCCATTGTATCACGACAGTATGAATGCATCATTAACTGATTGCAATAAAGAAGGAGTTTAATGTCAGGCAAGGGAGCAGCCCGCTGTCGTCAGTCCGCAAATTATCTCTATCGTCAAACTTATAATGCAGCTGCCATTTAGGCCACGACTTGTGGTGTAATTGACAAAATACGACATTTTCAACATGGACTCAGGTGTGAGAAGTGACAGCTATGATAAAAAAGTAAAAACTGATGTCATTAAGTTGTCAAAACGATAAAAATTATTAATTTTGAGAGAACCGATTGAAAATTTAACTGTATAGGCGCATACGTTCACATATATCTAGTCGGTTACAGTAAACGTTTTCGTTGCACTTTTACAAGCGTACGGACACATGTTAAGTTATCTACCTGGGCAAAAAACATCGCGATTTATATCTACATTTATTATTCATCCAGCCTGAATAACATTATAAATGTTTAAGTAAGCCGCAATGACATTAGACTGCCGGGGTGTATGCATTCCGTCTCATTCACTTAGCCATGTTAAAGTATAGGGCGCAATTGGGTTCTAATTGCGCCATCCCCCTGGCGCAATTTACA